GGCTTCCATAGTTTTCTTGAGCTCCTCTGTTTTTTTGTGTGTATCTTCTCTAGAGTTAGTAAGCATGGTTTTCATTTGGATACCATCTCTTCAGTTGCCTGAGAAATTATTTCTGATTTCAGTTGTTCTAGAACCTCATTCAGTTGCTTTGTTGTTACCCCTTCAGAGAGGTCACATGAGTGGCTTTTGGATTGCCTTATGTCATTGCCCCTTGGGTTTACCTTTGGTGAACTGGATGTCTGGGGTTGCATCTTGTTTAAGTCTTTTTCTTTCTTTCTTTCTTTCTTTCTTTCTTTCTTTCTTTCTTTCTTTCTTTCTTTCTTTTAATTCCTGGGGTAATAAAATTGCCTATGGTGGTTTGCTTTATTGCTAGTATATAGATTCATGAAGAAATGACTTCTCTGAAGTATGTTTCAGATGTACCTGGTTTTTGGATTTTGAGTGTTGCATGATCTTACCCCTTTGGTTTGTTGGGGATGCCTGTTTAGCCCAGCCCCTGGTTCTTTGGCACTGTGCCACAGTTTATTTTCTATGACTCTTACTTTATCTAAGAATAGCTGTTTAGAAAAGTTACATCAGTTTTGGCTAAAGTGGTAACATCAGCAGTTAGAATGGCATCATACACACCCTAGAAAATGACAAAGTGAGGTAACCATTAATTTGCGACCTTTAACCATAAGAACTAGATTTGTGGTTACATAACAGAATCTGAAACAAACCAGAAAATTATATGCCATATATAAGTCCTTAATATATTAACTTTTCCTTCACGGTTTAAAATTTAAAAGGCATTAGGGAGAAAATAGAAGAAGAGGAAGAGATTAGAAATAAGGCTGGAGCACAAATGTGGCTCATACTAACTTTGGGAAACTGGTACAAAACACTGGAGGGAAAAAGAGAAGGATGAGATAAAAAGAGCAACAGAATAAGAACCACAAAGAGGCTAGAAACTATATTCACATTTATAAAAATAAAAATGTGTGGAGACAGAGTACTGATCCATGTTGACTTATCTCAGCAAGCCAGCAGTAACTTTTTGGCAGAGTAGTGGATAATCTTAGCAAACCTGCACCTTCTGGCAGAGACCAGCCTCATTTGGCCTGTAACTGTCAGTGCGTCTTCCACAGGCCTGAGCCCAGCTGGGAGCTGCTAAATGGAGCCAGAAGCTGCTCAGAGTTCTGAGCTCAGTTGGCCCATCTCCAGGATGGCTCCTGGCCAATCAGTCTCTCACCTGGGTTGACTGAGTCCTCAGCACTCATAGTGAGCTAGTGCCATCCTTCATGTCCTCTGCTCCTCTCCATTGCTGCCTCTCTCCTTGGAGGCTTCTGGGGTTGCCAGCAGTCAGTGTGTGTCCACAGGCTTGAATCACTCCTCTCTTGTAGTGAGTCCCTTTTCAGTGAGAAGGTGCCAGCAACTACCTCCTTTGTTGAAGTTTTCTCTCTTTATTCTCTTTGTAGGCTTCACTTCATGCTTCAGATCCTTCCTGGGTCCAGGGAACCCAGTTCCCGCCTTCTCATCTTCCTCTTGTTGCTATTTTCCAGTGTCTGGACAGCAACTCTCAGAGAGGCTCTTTCTCTGCTACTTACTACTCTACCGTGTTGGTGGTTCTCCCTAGTACCATTTATTAAAGATGCTATTTTCCTCCAGTTTTTATTCTTTTTGTCCACCTTGCAATACTGAGGATTGAACCTAAAGGTACTCTACCATTGGCTGCTTCCCTAGTCTTTTTATTTTTTATTTGCAGTCTCACTAAGTTTTTTTTATTTTTTTAAGAGAGCCTTGCTCTGTAGATCAGGCTGCCTTAAACTCATCACGTAGCCCAAGCTGGCTTCAGACTTACAACGATCCTCCTGCCTCAGCCTTCTGAGTGCTGGAATTATGTGTGTATACCACACCCACCCAAAGGTCAATTTTTATCCATTTGTGTAATTCCATTGATGCTGAGAGAAATTTCAGATTGATGAATGTTATCCTAAGTAAGATGAAGACTAGGATTCCACAAGAGTTGGGCATGATAATCGTTCTTAGAATCCCAACACTGAGGAGGCTGAAGCAGAAGGGTTCCCAAGTTTAAGCTCCACATATGCATCTTAGGAACTTAGACTTTGTCTCAAAAAAAAAAAAAAAAAAGGCCTAGGGATGTAGCTCTACAAGAGACAATTATTTCACTCTCTAGTACCACAAGTAAACAAATATTTAAAATGTTAAAACTAAAACACATCTCTAAGATATAATAGCTAAGCTTTTCCCACAACTTCTCTTCTTTCTCCTCCTCCTAGGTTCTTGAGGAAATTTGTCCATCTATTCTGTTGGTGGCCCAGAGTTTGTTTCACTCCCAAGACCAGAGTATAACTTTATTTGCCAGTCTGCTCTACAAATATTCGTTTAGGATTTTTGACACTTACTGCCAGCAGGTATGTTGAAATAATTTATTTTGATTAGGAGGAATGGAGAAACAGAAATACAGCTCCAAGTGCATGTGATCTGATGTTTATTTCTTGTTAATTGCACAACATTGAAGAGTGGTGCTTGGAAAACTCAGTTCTAGTTCCAGCCTTAAAAATGAGTGGACTGGCCTGGGGGATTAAGTGGGTCTAAAATTAAGGTCCAGACCAGTCTACTTTGATTAAACCTTAGACCACTGGCCTGGATCATCAGGTGGTTTCACAGGATAGGAATTGTATTTAAAGTTAGTTAAGAGGCTAGGCGTGGTAGTGCACGCCTGTAGTCCCAGCACTTGGGAGGCTGAGGCAGGAGGATCATTGCAAATTCAAGACCAGCCTGGGCTATAAAGTGAGCTCAAGCCCAGCCTGAACTGCATAGTGAAACCCTGTCTCAAAAAGATAATAATAATATTAGTTAAAAGTACTCAACTTCTAGTTGACTGTGGAGTTGTTCCTTAAAAAAATACACAGTGAAAAATAAATGAGTAAGAAATGCTTGAGGCCTAACCCTATTCGCATGAATAGGATACACAAAATTTAATAGTACATATCTTGAGAAGGAAGGCTGTTTTTGCAGAAAGTTATTATAAAAGCATATAAGGAATTATTATTAACAATGTTCAAATACATTTGAAGGGAACCTTTATGAGTGAAGATGGATTGATTGATTTTTTTGCAGTGTGGGGATTGACCCCAGAGTCTTGAGCATAGGCAAACATTCCAACACTGAGTTCACCCCTAGGCCCTAGCCTGAGGAATTTATTAGTTTAATGAAAACCTATGTTAAGGTGGTAGTAGGGGGGTGTAGCTGAGTGCAAAAGCCCTGCATTACTGTGGTATGGTGACATATACCTGTATTTCTAGCATTCTGGGAAGTTAAGGCAGGAGGATTACAAGTTGAGTGGAGTCTGGGCAGCTTAGTTAGTGTGAAGGTCCTGAGTTCAGTTACCAGTACTGCAAAAGAAAAAAATGAAATAGCAATGGATACAGTTGACATGAGACATAGGATTCTGTTACTGAGCAGCAGTTAAAAGGAAAGCAGGAATAGCATCTAAGACCCTGTTGATTCTCTCAGTGTCTTGGGAAGACCATCATGATCTCTTTTAACTTATATGGGAAAAAGAAAGAGGAAGACTACACTAAGTAATAGAATTAGGAGGGCTTAGAGACTGCTCACTCATAACTGGAAAATAGGTCAAGCATGGATGTTATTGTGGTTACACTGAGATCACCCTAGACTTTCTAAATCTAGCATTACTGAAAACTACACAGTAGGTGGTAGGATCAGGTGAGCTGCAATTTTAACGAAGTCAAACCTGGCAAGGCCTTGCCGTCTTTTTGCTTCACGTTGTTCTGTTGAGCCTTGTTCCTCCTTTGTACAGGAAGTAGTTGGTGCCCTAGTGACCCATGTCTGCAGCGGGAATGAAGCTGAAGTCGATGCTGCACTGGATGTCTTCCTTGAGCTAACAATACTAGACCCATCTGCAATGAGGCTGAATGCTGTATTTGTGAAGGTATCTGTTGATTATAATGTTATATACTGAATCATTTCCTTTGTCGCATGTAACAGAGTTATCTGTTGGCAATCATTTATTTGGTACTCATTAGATACTGGGCTCTACAACTGGTGGATAGGAATTGAGATGTAATAGGAAAGTACTGTTTAAAAATGACTCATTGTTTATGTACTACTCCATTCAGTAGACATCTCTGTATTCCTGTTACCATGGTCTGTCCTGGGTGCTATGGATGTAAAATCAGTCTTTGCCTTTGATGATAGAAAGATACACAAGCAAGTTACTAAGATACAACTTGATGAATTCTATAATGAAATACTACAGATATAGAAGAGCAGGAATAACTCAATTTGGCCTGGAAAGCTTGAGAAGTGGTCAAAGCAGAAATCACATTTGAGCGTTTCTTGAAGGATGGGAAGACCTTCTGGCAGACTGTAGTTGGAAGGGAAGCTGAGTGATGGCTGAGGCTGTGTGTACCTGAGGACTAATAGGAGGCCTGGAGAAGAGATGTGGTTGGGAGTGGGGGAGGTGAGGCTGGTAGGACTCGGGGTAAGGCCCTGTTGCAAAGAGTTGAAATAAAATTGAAACCATGCTAAGGAGTTTCAAGTTGATTTTTGTAGACAATAGGGAGCTAGTGCAGGTTTCTGTAAAGAGTTGACCTGATCAAGTCTTGGCTTTGAGGCTGTGTGGTGAGGGGATTGGAGATCATGGAATTGCCTGAGAGCGTAAGGGCTGAAATTAGGGTCTTGGGGAAAGAGAGAGAATTAGCTTTAAAGATAATTTGGTCGGCCAGGCATGGTGGCACACACCTATAATCCCAGCACTCCGGAGGCTGAGGCAGGAGGATTGTTGTGAGTTTGAGACCAGCCTAGGCTACAAAGTGAGCTCAAGGCCAGCCTGAACTGCATAGTGAGACACTATCTTAAAAAGACAACTACAACAAAAAAGATGGTCTTAAAATCGGCATAGTTATCAAGAATACATTGCAATGAGAAAGGGAACTGAGGTCTGAGTTTTCCATCTTAGGAAGTAGGTGAATGCTTGTGCTGTATGGTGAGCTCAGAACTGTAGGTGTGGAGTGTATCTTTCAGAAGAAGCATAGTGAGTTCAGTTTGGTACCGCCATGTCTGGATAGTTAGTGTGTAGTTGGGAATTCCAGCTTGGAGCCCAGTAGGCACATCCGGTGGGAGGGTTAGTTTGGATATCCATAAGCACAACAGTGTGAGCTCCAGTGGGGCAGAAGATCATAGGAGCCTGGAAGAGTGCAGACACTGAGTGAGAGTACTGAGTGTAAGTAGCAGACAAGAGGAAAAGTCCATGGAAAGAGAATGAAAAGATAAAATAACATAAACCAGAAGGATGTCAGGTAGCAAAAGCCCAGGTAGAAGAGTGCTTCTTCCAAGGGGTAGGATGGTGGAGGGTGAAAGATGGGGTAGAGGCCATTAGCTTGGGCAGTTTAAAGCTCACAAAGCCCTTACTACTTCCTCCTCAGACCAGCTTTGGAAAGTATTAGCTATTATTATCTCCATATTAGAGCTGAGAAAACTCCGTATTAGAGATGAGCAGCCCTGGAGGGGTTGCTCAGGGTCAAAAAGGAAATGCAATGGTGCCTTAGTTCATGAACATTTTTGTTTTTGTTGTGAACTCTGCATTGGGTGATGAGCACAACGTCATCTTTCCCACACAAACACAAACATGGCCATCTTTTCAGAATTTTGGAACCATTTGAGTTCATGAACCGAGGCGCCACTGTAGTTTCCTTTTGACTCCCTCCAAATGTGAAGGGAAAGGATAGTTTGTGGAATAGAAGCTAGAAAGGGATGCTATGGTAAGGAGTGGGGGTTGTAGAAGACTTCTGTGGGATATTGTTTTCACTGAGGAAAAAAAGGCAGAGAAATGGGAAGTGTACCAGGATGATTAAGTGGGACATGGGTACAGCCCAAGATTGTGGTCCAGAATGCAGCGGACTAATGCTCATGGTTTCATCTTTCCTGGTGCTGGGTCCTAGTCTCTGGTAGACTTAGTAATCTGCAAGAGCCCTATCTGCTTGTGTCCAGCATATCAAACCTTTGTAGTCTGAGCAGAGCTTTTTTTTTTTGGTTTTTTTTTTTTTGGTTTTTTTTTCTCCGGTACCGGGAACCGAACTCATGACCTTGCGCTTGCCAGGCAGACGCTTTTGCCACTGAGCTAAATCCCCAGCCCCAATCTGAGCAGAGCTTTTACAGCTTAAGCTTTTGGGGAACTAGTAGATAGACACCTGGCTATATAAGTGTATATCTCATGAGGATTTTAATTTTTGTTTTGTTTTTAGGTCCTGGGAATTGAACCCAGGCAGGGCCTGGCACATGCTAGGCAAACATTTTACCACTAAGCTAAACCTGCAGCTCAGGATTTTAACTTTGTGACTTAAAGAGAAAAACAATTAGCTACAAACCTCATTGTTGGCATTTTTTCCTTATAGGGCCTTTTAGATTACCTGGATAATATGTCACCTCAGCAAATCCGAAAACTCTTCCATATTCTCAGCACACTGGCATTTAGTGAACAGCACGAAGCCAGCAGTCACATCAAGGTAAAAAGCTCTCTGTTGAGAAAGAATCTTTTAAACCTCTTTTCTTGGAATTTGCTAGACAAAATTACATTAGCCTGTGACGTAGTGCATAGCCATAGCCCCAGCCTTTGCCCACTCTGTCCTTACCACAAACATACATCTGTTTGCCAGCCTCAAGGGTGCTGGATCTTCTGCCCTCATCTTAGGCAGGGTGTTTAGTTTGGGATTAGCTAACCAGGAAGTTGACTAGGAAAAGCTGTTTCCATTCTGTACTGAGGACTATAGAGACAGAATTCCACAAGGCTTGCTTGCATTTGTAGGCACCAGTTACTGAAATCCAAAGGATGTACAAGAGGAGGAAAGGTTAGGTTGAAGTCATAACTCAGAGCTCTTTTGTGCCTGTAATGTTACCTCTTAATTGTAAATACATTCTTGCTGGACTGTGATTTTAACAACCAGCACCATTTTTAATTTAAAAAAAACCCAACTGTCTTTAAAGCTAGCTATTCTACATAAATGGTACATAATTCAAAATGTATAGAAGAGTACACAGTGAAAAATAATTTCTCACCCCTCTCAGTCCTTTAGGCATCTGGTTTGTTTCCCTAGAGGTCATCAGTATTGCTAGTTTATAGCTTTTGGAGATGTTTTGGGCATTTAGAAAAATCTGTATTTGCCTATAATCTACTTCTTCCCTCTCTTCTTCAACATCTTGCATTTTGTGTTTAGCAGAATATTTTGGAGTTTACTTTATATTAATAATATATTAGTCATTATTTCATTTTTGAGTTGATAAAATATACATAACATAAAATTTACTGTTTTAATCATTTTTAATATCAGTAGCATTAAGGACATTCACAGTGTCCAAGCTTTATCGCTATCCATTTTCAGAATTTTTTTTGTTTGTTTGTTTTTCTCCTGTACCGGGAACCGAACTCACGACCTTGCGCTTGCCAGGCAGGCGATTTTGCCGCTGAGCTAAATCCCCAGCCCCAGAATTTTTTTTTAATCCTCCCAAACAGAAAAGTGCACCCAAGCTGGGTGGGTTTCCTACACCTGTAATCCCAGTGCTCTGGGTGGCTGAGGCAGGAGCAAGGAAGGGATGGAGAAAGGAGAGGGAACGGAAGGGAGAGGGAAGGGGGTGAAGCAAGCTTGTGCCCATTAGGCAGTAGTAATTCCAATTTCTCCTCCCCTCAGCCCTGGTAATCTGTTCTCTCCTTTCATCTGTGAACTTGCCTAGTCCAGATACCTCATGTAAGTGAAATGGTGTCATTTTACTTGGCATAATGTGTGGTTTTTTAAATTTTTTTTTATTTTAAAGATAAAAGAATGAAAACATACTAACAAACAGACAGACATAAACAAAATAATACCATAATATGTGTTTTTGAGACAGAGTCTCGCTGTATAGCCTAGGCTGGCCTCAAACACGCTACCATCCTTCTGCCTCAGCCTTCTGAGTGCTGGGATTACAGGCATGCGCCACTACACCCAGATATACTTAGTGCAGTGTTTTCAAACTTCAGCTATGTTGTATGATGTAGAAGGTATGATTGAAAAATACATTGAATGTTTAAATTTTTAAAAATTATTGCAAGCCAGGTGTGATGACACACACCTGTAATCCCAGCATTCAAGAAGCTGAGGCAGGAGGATTGATGTGTGAATTTGAGGTCAGCCTGGGCTACAGTGTGAGTTCAAGGCCAACCTGAACTGCATGGTGAAACCCTGTCTCAACAAGACAAAAAAAAAAAAAAAATTAAAAATTATTGCAGTAAAAGACACATTAATCCTTCTCAAAATATTCCCCCTAACTTTGAACACACTTAGCCCATTGTTCTTTTTTTGTTTGTTTGTTTTTCTCTGGTACCGGGAACCGAACTCACGACCTTGCGCTTCCCAGGCAGGCGCTTTGCCGTTGAGCTAAATCCCCAACCCCTAGCCCATTGTTCTTGACAGTGTGTGCTTTACTGTTTTAAGTGAGTTTTATTTAGTTTAACATTAAATGTATTTTTCAATCACCCCTTGTATCTGGACTTTGTTCCTTATAATAGCTGAGTAATTCTTGTTATATATAAACTGCATTTTGTTATTTGTTGATCCATTGATGGGCACCTGGGCTGTGTCTGGCCATTTGAATAATGCTGTTGTGGACACTAGTGTACATGCATTGGTGTGAGCCCCTATTTTCAATTCTTCTGGGTATATACCTAGAAGAGGAATTGCTGGGTATTAGGTGATTCTGTTTAACATTTGGAGGAACTCCCAAAGTTGTGCATAGCAGCTCCAGCATTTTATAGTCTCACCAACAAGCATGAGGGCTTCAGTCTTTCCACACCCTGAAAACACTAATTAATAGCCACCTTTAGTGGGTGCATGGTAGTGCAGTTTTGATTTGCCCTGCCCTAATGACTAATGATATTTAGCATCTTTTCATGAGTTTATTGCCCATTTATATATCTTCTTTAAAGAAATTAGGGTTGGCTGTAATCCCAGCACTCAGGAGGCTGAGGCAGGAGGGTCACTGCAAGTTCAAGACCATCTACACAGTAAGTTCAAGGCCAGCCTGAACTGCATAGTGAGACCCAGTCTCAAAAAAAAAAAAAGAAAGAAAGAAAGGAAATTGGGGGTGGGGCCAGATGTGGTGGTACACACCTGTAATCTCAACACTGTGGAGGCTGAGGCAAGAGGATCCCAGTGAGTTTGAGGCCAGCCTAGGTAGGCTACATAGTGAGGCCTTGCCTAAGACAGAATAAAACTAAACAAAAAAAATAAAAAGAAATTGAGGTTGGGGATTTGGCAGCATTTAGCAGCAAGCACATGCCTTGGATTTGATCTTCAGCACAAAAGAAAGAAGGAGGGCCAGGGATACAGCTCAGCAGCACAGTGCCTGCCTGGCAAGTATGAGGTCTTGAGTTCAATTCCTGGTACCAAAAACAAAAGAAGAAAAAAGGGAAGAAAGAAAGAAATCTACTCATGTTCTTTAGTTTTTTTGTTGTTATTTTTGAGGTATTAGAGATTTTTTCATACTGTATAGCAAAGTATTAATTCCTTGTGATTTTCAGATATTTTCTTCCATTCTCTGCATAATCTTTTCTTTCCCCTTCTATTTTGCAGGTTGGGATGGTTTAAAATCTCAAGATGGGTTCTTACTGTGTATTCCAGGCTGCCCTTGAACTTGCTATGTAACCCAGGCTGGCCTCCAACTTAAGATCTTCCTACCTCAGCCTCCTGGATGCTGGGACTATAGGCATACATCTCCGTGCCCAGATTCTTTCTTTTTTCTCTATTGTTTTTGTTCTTGTAGTTTTTTGGTTTTATTTTGTTTTGTTTTGTTTGTCTTTTTGAGACAGGGTCTCCTTATGTAGTTCAGGCTGGCCTCAACTCACATATGAATCCTCCTGCCTCAGCCTCCCGAGTGCCCTGGTTCTTCCAGGTTTTTGAGATGGGGTTTGGCTATGTAATTCAGACTTGAACGCAAAGTGTAGCCCAGGCTAGCCTGGAGCTCTTGGTGATCCTCCTGTCTCAACCTTTTGAGCACTTAGATTACAGGTGTGCAATACCATGCCCAGCTCTAGTTTCTTTTTCTTTATAGTGTGCTTTGATGTCCAAAAGTGTTTAGTTTTGATGGCATTCAATTTATCTATTTTTTTCTTTATTATTTATACTTTTGGTATCATAATTAAGAACTTATTACCAAATACGAGAACATGAATACATGAATATTTTCCCTACTTTTTTCTTTTTTTTTTTTCTTTTTTTGGTCTTTTTGAGACAGGGTCTTGCTATCCAGTTCAGGCTGGTCTTGAGCTCACTTTGTAGCCCAGACTGGTCTCAAACTTACAACAATCCTCCTGCCTCAACCTCCCAAATGCTGGGATTATAGATGTGCGCCACCATGCCCGGCTCCCTACTTTTTTCAAAATGAAAATTTTGGATCTTAAATTTAGGTCTGTGTGGGCCAAGAATATAGCTCAGTGGCATAGTGCCTGCCTGGCAAGCTCAAGATCCTGAGTTTGAGTCCCAGTACCAAAAAAAAAAAAAAAAAAAAAAAAAAAGGAAAAATTACGTCTGTGGTCCACTGTGAGTTAATTTTTAGTGTTGCCTTACTGGTGTAAGTTTAGGGATCATCTCCATCCTCCTGCACGTGAATATCCAGTGTGCACTGCACTATTTGTTGAAACACTGTGCTTTTCCACTGAGTGGTCTTGGTGTCCTTGTTGAAGAGCAGTTGATCACATATATAAGGTTTATGTCTGCGCAGTATTCCATTCACCTGTGTATCTGTCTTTCCAGGTCGTCTAATCAAAGAACACAGAATATCTTTGCTTAATTTATTTTTTTTTTCATTTATTTATTCATTTTTTAACCTTTGCTTAATTGAATTAAATTGATAAATTAAGATTATTAATTTCTTTCAGCAGTGTTTTGTAGAGTTGACATATAAGTCTTTTGCCTCCTAAATTTTTTCCCAAATACTCTATTTCATTGTTGTAGCCGAGCAGCCACCACGAAAATAATAGCTGCCATGAACCAGGTGCTACTCTAGGGACTTTTCACAATTAATCTCTAAACCTTAAAACAAACTTTCCCATCTTGTAGATGAGAAAATTAAGACTCAGAGAAATGAAATGCCTATTAAAGGTCACAGTTAGTAATTGAAAGAACCCTTCTGCCTGGGGTTTGTTTGGCTCTAGTACCCATAGATTCTTCTGCTGTGCCATCCTATCCTCTTCATCTTCACCCATCACATTCTCACTGCAGGATGATATGCACCTGGTGATCCGGAAGCAGCTCTCGAGCACCATAGTCAAGTACAAACTCATTGGGATCATTGGTGCGGTTACCATGGCAGGCATCATGGCAGCAGACAGGTATGTGTGGAGACTCTGACTTCTGTGACTGAGGATCAGTTAATGAAAATAAAATGTTATATTGTGAAGGCATCATTTTTAACAGATTTTAAAACTATAAGAGGGGTGAGCAAGTGGCTTGTGCTAACTTTTCCATACTCCCTTCCAATCTGGACTTTATGTACCTTGGATAGTTTTTACAGAGAGTTGTGATCATAGTCATTAGAGTATAATGGTTAAAAAGTAGGAGTTGCCCCGAGATATGGTCTTAAAAAGCTTCCCACAGAAGAGCACCTTAATCCTGCTGAAATGTGTTTTTCTGTTTCTGCCCCTCAGCCAGCCACTAGACAGTATAAGTCACTACATTGCTGCACTGATCCTGCCTGGAACTTCAGGTTTGGCACAGATAACAGTCTTCCTTGTGGTTCCACTCTTTTTCCTCTTTGATGTTCCAATTGTAGCATCTAAAGAAGAAGCATCAGATTTGGGGCTTGTTAAGGTAGTGACAGTTTCACATCCTTGGAAATTGTCAGAAATTCTTGAGACCTCAGGAGTCAGTGTTAACAATCTGAAGAGGCTGCACAGTATATTGGTTAAGAGTTTATTCACTGAGACTGCACTGCTTGCCTAAGGAGTCAAATACTGGTAGCTGAATGACCTCGAGCAAGTTACTGCTGCCTTTCTAGTCTCATCTCTGTGCCATGAGAATACTCAAGGTGTTTTTTCAGTGGAGTCACCAAGAGCATTAAATAGAGCAGTGCTGGGCCTATAACGTACATTAAAGAAGCCCTGGCCTTAGCCAAATACGGGGGTGCACACTATAGTGCTATCGCTGGATGCGGTCTGAGGAGGGCCCCCTGGAGAGGAGGAGGTGGGACTTCATCTTGCCCTGGAGGTTTCTGACTCAACATGAAGGAGAATCTCGGGACTTCTCAACGAGAGACAAACAGATTTATTAGGCAGAATCAAAGAAGTACACACTTAGAGCGCAGGTCTGCAAAGCCAAAATGCACCGTGGGGGAATGTTTCTGTGGTCTCAGTGTCCCTCAAGATGCATGACCTGGGATGGTTTGTTCTGTTGTTTACCTACTGTCTGTTTCCATAAGGTTAGGCTGCTCACTGGTGAGCTAAGGCAAAAACTGACTTTACGGCCTAGATTAACACGCACTGTCTGCATGTGTTTGAAGTTTGGAGCATCAACTAATAACACTGTTCCTTTGAGAGTGGAAGCCTTTGAATTTGTAGATTTATAATATCAGAAGAGAACACAGGTCAAATTTATGGACTTATTATATCTTTAAGACAGGGATTTAGGAGTGAGGAACCTGGAAGACACAGGCCTAGGAGCGAAAAGGCATCGAAACCTTAAGTAACTTTGTATCTGAAGGCTGCAGATTTATTAAAATCATCATTACATTTCTTCTGTGCTCCCTCAGTTCCGGCTGTTTGGGAGAGTGAGGCAAAAGAGTCCCCCCCCCCCCATCTAAAAGAAGATAAAAGGAAAGTTAGCTAGAACACCTGCAGTCAGTCCCAACATTTGGGACGTTGGAGCAGAATTACAAGTTCAAGGGCAGCCTGAATGACACAGCAGAATCCTGTCAAAGGAAGAAAGGGAGAAAGAATGAGCAATGGAATCTTGTCAAAGAAAGAGAAAAGAGCGAGCTTACCCTTATTGTCATTACTAATTTAGTATGCTCTTAGAAATCCATATGAGCTGGGTTCAGTGGCACCCACTTGTAGTCTTGCACTATGCAGGCCGACATGGGAGGATCACTTGAGCCTAGATGTTTGACACCAGCCTAGGCAATGTGGCAAACCCCACCTTCAGAAACAAAAATCAAAACCTGAACTGTTTTTTTTTTTTCTATATCCATGATTTGTATGGACAGTATAATACCCCTTCACCCCTTCAAAATTATTATCTCTATTCTTACCTCAGGGAAGGAAGGGTTAACTTTCTGTCAGTTGTTATAAGATACTGAAAAATGAAACTATAAAATTCCTTGTTCTAGAAGTGAATCTTCTAATTGGAGCCAAGGGAGAGCTGACGCAGACAATGAGCAGTGCACACAGGTGAGTTTTTTATGGTGTACTCATGTATGCTTATTAGAAATTGAGGAATTGCTTCTTGTCACTGTCAGCTCACCAGAAAGAATACTTTGTAAAAAATAATCTTCTGATCTCATAGCTATCATGGTTTTTGCCATTTTTATGACACTTAGAATCTAGGCTTGGGTTGCCTTTACTTATGTATCTGTCTAATCTAATTAAATTGGAAATTCTTGGTAGCATACACCTATGACCTGAGTACTTGAAAGACTGAGATAGGAGGGTCTCCGAATTCAAGGCAAGCCTGGGCTACATAGTGAGACCTGTCTCAACAACAAAACAAAATTGTAAATTCGTAGCAAGAGAGATGACCATGGTTACTTGGGCATGGTGATACATGCCTGTTAGCCCATTTACTTGGGATGTTGAAGCAAGAGCATCGTTTAAGGCCAACCTGTGCAACTTAGTGAGACCCTGTTTAAAATTTAAAGAAAAAAAAGGGCTATGGATGTAGATGATTTTTCCAGCATGCCCCAGGCCCTGGGTTCAATCCCTAGTACCATGGGGTGGAAGGAGGTGGAGGTAGAACACTGGCCTACCATGTATAAGGCCCAGGGTCTGATCCCTAGTGTGCTCATCCCCCAGAACAAAAAAATGGCAGGTTTGTTGGACCATATGGGAAAAGAAGTGTATGCTCAGATGTAAAGCTAGTTCAGAGATGGATAACTGAGGACCTTGAATGTCACAGAAGACATTTTTATTTCCCTCCTTAAGCACAGATAATCCTTAAAGATTTCTTAGCATGGAAATCGCATATTCAAAGTTTGGCTTGAGAAAAGATTAGAGAAGCAAAAGAGACACAGTGGTCAGGAGGCTCAGGAACATCTCGGGTGGGGCAAGCTTGGTGGTATGGCTGGAAAGAAAATTTACTACGCAACAGGCAGAGGAAGCTCGGGAAGGCCTGGGGCCAAGGGGCGAGTGTTCTTTGTCTTTTGCTGCTCCAGGTGACATCCTTGCTGCAGTTGGTTCAGTCCTGCAGTGAGCACTCTCCTCACGCCTCTGCACTGTATTATGATGAGTTCGCCAACCTGATCCAAGAAGGAAATATGGCTCCAAAAACATTGGTAAGGTCTAGTGTCTCTTCTGAAAGCAATAAAGCGTGAGAGGTCCACATAGATCATCCTGTGAGCTCTCCCAAGCTATATTGAAAGGGCGGTTCTACTTTGTTTTCCTTTGGGCTGGTCTCTCCTCTCCATCCTCCTCCATATAACAGTAATCACAGTAATGGGGAAGAAGTGGAGGATGTGCTTGGTATTGATGATGTTGATAGATGCCTTCTTTTTGGTAGCCCTGTTCTATGCCAGGCACTATGCTAAGCACTTTCTGTACATTATCTCTTTTCCGCTTCACAGTAGGAGGTATGTATTGTTCTTTTCTTTTCAGAAATGAGAAAACTGAGGCTTGGTAAAGTTCACAGACATTTATGTAGGGCTGTAGAGCAAGTACACCCTAGACCACATTGTCTCTTTTTTGCTTCCTGAAGGAGTGGGTTGGGCAGACTATCTGCACTGATTTCCAAGATGCCTTCGTGGTGGACCTCTGTGATGTCTCAGAAGGGTGAGTGCTGTTTGCCTGCTGCTTTGGTTGCCCTGGTGAGGAAGTTATGCCACCTCTGTCAGTAGCTGATACAAAATTCTTAATGCCCTTCACCACAGCCAAGTCTATCGAGCCCACAGCTTCTATCCTCACAGTCCTAGCCCTGACTCCAAAATTACTAAGTCCATACTTGTTCTTTTTCCTGTTTCTAACTTCTCTCCATAATAGTTTTATTTGAAATTGGTTTGTTCTAGTGGTTTCCTCCATAACCTTGCTTATCACTGAGCTGGGGCATGAGATTTTGACTTCTCGTCTTCACAGTGCATATCCGTTTCCTGTGAAAGCTCTCTATGGACTAGAAGAATACAATACTCGTGATGGAATTGCCATCAATCTCCTGCCTCTACTCTTCTCTGAGGAATTTGCAAAAGATGGGGGTCAAATGACTTCACAGGAATCAGGACAAAAGTCAGTATGATCCCCCCAAAACTTTTTGGTGTTTACAGGGAATTTCATAGTTCTTTCCATCTGTAGGGAACTTGAGTTAAAGGGATTCTCCCAAGATAAGTGGTATTTGGAAGCTTAGAGGGAATGGCACAAATTCCTTATTTTTTTCCTTGGATCCTGAGGTTGAAATTTATGTTGTTTCGGCCAGGCGTGGTAGGGCACACCTGTAATCCCAGCACTTGGGAGGCTGAGGCAGGAGGATCGTTGCAAGTTCAAGAGCAGCCTGGGCTACAAAGTGAGCTCAAGACCAGCCTAAACTGCATAGCGAGACCCTGTCTCAAAAAAAAAAAGAAAGAAATTTATGTTGTTTCATGAGAGCCAACAGGTGTTCTGTGAGGCTATTTTCTGTTCTGTTCTCTGTTCCTTACCCCTTCTTTTCTTTCCTGTGAACATTGTTGGCTACTTCTACCTCTCTCACTCCCACCTTCCATCTTACCTGTGTTTCTCATTCATTCTGCATAACCCCTTTCTTGTTGCAGTTTAGGTCATTGTTGACTGAGCATTCATTAAGCCTGTTGCCATTCCTAAAAGTAGGCATTTATTTTGGGGAAAGTTTTTAAATTATAAAGATAGGCACCCTGTAGACATGGACAAATATGATGATGACTATGAAATGTTGTCTAAAACTGGATTTTTCCTTTCCAGATTGGTGTCTCCATTGTGCCTGGCTCCTTATTTCCGGTTACTGAGATTTTGTGTGGCCAAACAACATAATGGAAGCCTGGAGGAGATTGATGGTTTATTAGGTATGGAACAAAGCCTTAGATCTTCTTTGTGACATTTTTACCAAATAGACAAGGGCCAAACTAATACATGGTGTAGGTAGGAAGGAATGTCTAATTTTATAGAACAGTATAGCAACAATAATGGAATTCTGGAGATAAAATAGTACATATGGGCTAGCGTGATGGTAACAGACCCGTTGTCATTGTAGTTCCACATTGCTTTCCAATGGTTCTCTTTATAACTGTTGCAAAACTTCCTCCTCATAAGATGGGCATGGTGGTGCTCACTTGTAATCCCAGCTGCTCCAAAATCTGAGAGAGGGGGATTGTGAGTTTGAGCCCAGCCTCGGCAACTTAGTGAGACTTTATCTGAAAATAAAATTTTAAAAAGGGCTGTGGACGTAATGAAGTGGTAGAGTATTTGCTTAATATTCACAAAGTCCTGGGTTCAATCCCCAGTACTGTGAAAAAAAGAAAAAGAAAATACTTCCTAATTATATCTGTTGTTTGCTGTATAAGATAGAAGTTTTTTTTTTTTTTTGAGAAATCAGAGCTTGACCCCCAAGTACAAGCTAAAGGGGAAAGTAAGGAGCTCCAGGGTGTTTGAAAGGCTTATTCTTCTCTCTTAGATTGCCCTCTATTCCTTACTGACCTGGAGCCTGGAGACAGGTTGGAGTCCATGCCTACCAAGGAGCGCTCATTCCTGTGTTCACTCATATTTCTCACTCTCAACTGGTTCCGAGAGGTGAGCAGAGTCACTGGGACATCCCTCCTGTTCTCAGTAGTTCTCTCAAAATAAAGCTACTCTCTCGACTCCCACAGGAATCCCTAAAAAGGCTCAACCAAGCACCAGCGCCCGTGCCTCTACCTGTTACACCCCACCGCTCCCCGGATAGTTAATGTACTTGGCTTTGCCGAGCTGGAGCACCCAGAATAAACTCATGTGACCCATGCTTCCCTGCTCTGAGCTCTCTTGGATTCTCACTTCTGTAGGACAACCTCCTCATCCCCACTGTGGAAGAATTGCTCTTCCAGCTAGCACAGGCTCATGTTCACTGGCTGCAGTGAGATGAGAGGGTGGTGGTTTCCCTTCCTTCAGAACATGTTGCATTTAATAATAATAGAGACAGTGATCTTTCTGCCCTTTCTGCCTTTCTCTTGCATTTTATTTTTTAGATGCATGTTTTCAGAGATGCATGTTTCAGTGAGTTCATTTACTTGTCACATTTTTATTATAATGTAGACAGGTCAGGCATTATCTTTTCGTACATATATAGAATTTCAGTCACTGTTAAGTATTTACCAACTACTGAGTTAGTTTCTTTATTCATGACATTTATTTCATATAACAACTACTGTCTATTCTCCTGTTATAGTTGAAGGCCAGGGAAGTAACTCAGTGGTAGAGCGTTTACCTCGTGCATGTGAAGCCCTGGGTTTAGTCCTCAGTACTGAAAACAACAAATCCAAGCTATAGCATAAAAACTCACAGAAATGCTTTGTAGTGACATCTTTGAGTTCCAGGCGAATAAGACAAATCATGCAGACTTTGAGGTTAAAATCTGAACACGTCAAAGTGAGAATGTAATTTGCAGGTCGTGAATGCCTTCTGCCGACAGCCGTCACCTGAGATGAAGGGGAAGGTGCTCACTCGGCTGAAGGACATTGTCAAGCTGCAGGGCATGCTGGAGAAGCACCTGGCAGGTAGGGCTCTTATTTTCAGCCCTGGGAGGTCAGGGAGCCCCTGCACCTTCATACCGAGGAATTGTGTGCTGAACACAGTGTTTAATGATTACATCCATTTCACTCTTTTGTTAGCACCAGGAAATTATACTAGTTAAAGTAAAAACTATAAACAAAGATAAGAAATATGGGTTGTTCTGTCATCAAGTTACTTCACTAATTTGGATATTAAATTTTTGGTGATCTTTGCCCATCTGAATGTAGTCATGAGCCAGAAAGAAAGATGAAGGCCTCTTCATACCTGGTGACCATTAAGTACTCCGGTTTTTTTTAAGGTATTATTAGCTTGCTTCTCTGAGGAAAACGTGGAGTCTCCCTGAGGCCCTCATCTAAAATAACTGTAGAACTAAGCATTGCCAGGCTCCAGTAGATCACACCTGCACCTGTCATCCCAGCTGCTCAGGAGGCTGGGGCAGGAGGAACACAGTTGACTGCCAATCTGGAAATACTAGCAAAAAACAACAAAGTCTGGGGTGTACCCTGGTGGAAGAGCACTTGCCCAGCATGCCCAAAGACCCAGGTTTGATCTCTGGTCCTGCAAAAAAAAAATTTTAAGTTCCCCAAAATTGCTTTGTGACCAGATGTTATTAATATCTTTAGGGTTTGTTTGTTTTTTAAGGTAGGGTCTCACTATGTAGTGCAGGCTGGCCTTGAATTCACTTATATAGCCCAGGCTGGCCTTGAACTCACGGCAATCCTATCTCAGCCTCATAAGTGTGGGGCTTATAGGCATGCACCACACCCAGCAATATCTTCAGATTTTTTAATGCAAGTTTGTTTTAGTCCTTTTCTGTGTGGTTTTATATCATTATTTAGAATTGTTTTGTTAGTTGATCACAATCAGTCACTGTAATATGATATTACTGAAAGTTTTCTGGCCATCTTGCTATGCAAGAGCAGTGTTAGAGGATGGTAATATTCTGTAAACACTAACTGTGATGCTTGGTCAGTTTGGAAACTCGTTTTTAGCCAGTTGGGTGATTGCATGCCAAACCCAGTAGTGGTGCATGGTCAGTGCATATTGACCTTCTGCCTGCTGTCTTTCAGTCACTCCAGACTACGTCCCTCCTCTTGCAAACTTCGACTTGGAAACTTTAGATGTAATACCTTATAACAGTTCTGCATCAGCAAAAAGCAGGAACAAAGGAAAGATAAGTATGTTCTTATTCTGTGTCACTCAGCCATATTGAGTTAGCCTAAGACATTTTATATATGCTGTGTATTTTTTTAATCAATATGTATCAGCATCAGTAGTTGGAGAGATTATATAATTGAACACTTTCTTTGGCAGGTATATAAATGCTCTTTAATTTAGGCTATAGTGTTACCTCCTCTACTGGGTAGGAGGTTATTTCCTGAGGGCACTGATCTATTGAGAATTTGAGTCACTTTTCTCTTTTTGAAATATAAGGAGGAAGAAAACAAAAACCAGATGATGGCAAAGCATCCTCCCCTGATAAACTTGCAAAGGAGGATAATTCAGAATGTGAGCCTGTGGCATCTGGGAGAAGCCAGCTAGAGCAGGTACTGGAGTGGTGGGTAGATGGCAAATGTGTACAACAGCCTGTAAGATCTACAAAGGGCCAGCTTTTTCCCTGTATTTTACAGAGGAAAGCTTAGGGAATAAAAAGACAAATGAGACTTTTTAGGTTTTGGAGTGACATATTTACAAGCAAAGTTCAAGTTATACTTTTTTGAGGGGGTATTTTTGAGACAGGGTCTCTCTTTATAATTCAGGCTTCAAACTCACTATGTAGCCTGGCTGGCTTTGAATTTGTGGCAGTCCTGCCTCAGCCTCCTGAGTGCTGGGATGACAGGCATGCTCCACCATACCTGGCTCAAATTACACTGTGAATTCCTTCCTTCTGCCACACATTACTGGTTGTCTTTTTAAATTATTTTTCTTCATATTTTACTCCCTTGTTTTGCATCTTAGTAGTAGTTTGAATTTTCTTTTATAGCAGTTATCAAATTCTGCCTTAGGACATATTTTCTATATGTTCTGGTCTAGTCTCTTTCCCCTTCTAATCCTAAATTATCAATATCAATGTTTCAGTGAATTGAGATAATGTGAAATGCTTAGTACAATTTCTGATACTTGATTAGTAGTAGTCTCCTTTTCCTGTAATTTTGTATTATTCACAGAGTAGGTTTTGTGTATTTGTGCAATTGCCCTGGCCCCACAGGAATCCTAATTACTCTTGTCTTTTACCTACCATTTTTTAATGTAATTCATTGTGCATAACATTTGTAAATGTCTTAAGGTTAGTATTAATAGCTACATGGTAGCCAAGAGGTAGTTATGCAGTGAAAATGTAACTTTTTACATAAGACTAATGCTTATTTGCACATTGGAATTGTCATTAAAAATTAGGTGACTACAGAAGATTTGTTCTGTAAATCTTGGCTGTATCTTTCCCTCCAGGAGTTCACCGGGAAGGAAGCAAGGACGTCAGTGTCACTGCAGAATTACCGTGCTTTCTTCCGCGAGCTGGATGTCGAGGTCTTTTCTATTCTGCGCTGCGGACTTGTGACCAAGGTCATCTTAGATACTGAAATGCACACAGAAGTGAGTGACACACCAGAATCTCAGAACTTCATCTGTTTTCAGAAAGTTCAACTCTTATTTAAAAAACAACACTACAACATTGAGGAAAGTTAAAGGTGTGGGTGTAGCTCAGTGATCCCCAATACCACAAGAGGAAGGAAGGGATTTAGACTCAACTTCAAAGCCTTTAGAGGGGCTGGGGATTTAGCTCAGCGGCAAAGCGCCTGTCTGGCAAGCGGAAGGTCCTGAGTTCGGTTCCCGGTACCGGAGAAAAAAAAAAAAAAAAACAAAGCCTTTAGAGATGAGAGTAATGAGTGGTCATCCTCAACACCTGGATGTTTATAAGCTGGAAACTTGGAACAGTGTTAGAAATTACAGCTTATTGGTAATACTTAGTTTACTTTTGTAAAGGAGAGCTGTTCTGCTGTATGGAGATTAGTGCTATTTCATGACATCTGTTCAGTATCCTACAAATGCTTACAGAGCCCTTTTTTGGGCGAGAGGAGCATTTTACTAGTCATTTAGACACAGGCAGTGCAGTAGTACATTCAGCATGGTGTTTGCCTTCAAATAGGTTATAACCTAATAGGAAAAGTGGTAAAATAACAGTAATGGACTAGCAGATCCTCATTGAGAAGTTGTATTTCTAGTGAAATGGAGAGTGAGGATATTTTCACAGAAAAAATAACTTTTGATAAGTGATTGCACTAGACAGTAGAATGTCTCTATACTAAAAAAGAAAAAAAAAAGGAAACATCTTGAACCTTTACTCGATAGTTATAAGAATATAGGCACCTCCCAAAGAGTGAATATCTTTGATAGGGTGGATGCTGGAGATTGAACACATGGTCTTCACTCTATAAATTATATCTCCAGCCCTTTTTTTACTTTTTTTTTTTTTTTGGTCTTTTGAGACAGGGTCTTGCTATGCAGTGCAGGGTAGCCTTGAACTCACTATGTAGCTGAGGCTGGCCTTGAACTCAGGGTAATCCTCCTGCCTCGGCCTCCCAAGTGCTGGAATTATAGACGTGCACCACCATCCCTGGTTCTTTTCTATTTTTAAATCTTCACATCAGCTTCTCTGTAGAAGATTCTCAATAATTGTGTGTGTGGAGTGAACAGTTTGAAGTAGTACTACTTCATCCTGTCTACTTCTGGTGGAGTAATATATTTGTAAAGATTCTGCCTGCAGTTAATAGTAAAACGTTTGAGGAAAGAAAGTATGCAAGGTGAAATTGCTTTGAATTAGTACTGAGGATTACACCCAGGGCCTTACCTGTACTAGACAAGTTCTCTACCACTGGGTGCATCTCCAGCCCTTCTGTTTTGAGACAGGGTCTTGTTAAGTTGTCCAAGCTGGCCTAGATTCATTATTGTCTTGCCTCAGCCTCTTGAGTAGCTGGGATTATAAGTATGTACTACTATGCCCGGCAAATTAGTCATTTTCTACTAGAGCATATTTAAGAAATCTATCTTGGTTTTACAAGAGGAGAGATAAGGAATGTATTTCTAGAGAAAAAGTAAGATTTCTTTTTTTTTTTGAGACAGGGTCTTGCTGTGTAGTTCAGGCTGACCTTGAACCTAGTATGTAGCCTAGGCTGGTCATGGCAATCTTCCTGCCTCAGCCTCCTGAATGCTGGGGTTATAGGTGTGTGCCACCATACCTGGCTCATATTCCTAGTTTAATAATCTGAAATTTTGCTTTGTTTTGGAAATGCTTGACTTTCTGGTAACTTGACAGAGCACAACTGCTACCTTTTACATGAAGTGGGGGAAATTCTTTCCTTTTTTATTAGAAGTCAGATTCTCATTAGAAAGCATGAACCTGAAATACACTAAAAATAAAATGACTAGGACATACAGCCTGATCCCATTGCTTCTCTCCCTGGCCTCCTCAGCGTATAAAGCCTTCCTGCCCCAGGTGCTGAATTAGATTTCCCCCACTAAAACAAAATTCCTTCATTTTATTAGGAATTTTGTTACATATGTACCTGGAATTAGTCCCTCTTCTTCCGTTTCGCAGGCTACAGAAGTTCTGCAACTTGGGCCACCAGAGCTGCTTTTCTTGCTGGAAGATCTCTCGCAGAAGTTAGAGAACATGCTGCTGCCAACTTGTACCAAAAGAATGTCTTTTCTCAAGGTCAGTGTAAGCAGAAGGAATGCCTGAGCTTCATGGCTCTGAAATTCGTCTCTTTCTGACATGGTGCTTGTGTCTGTGTCTGTGAATAACATGTTGGCAGCCCTGTTGCCAGGCCATATTCATCTTGCTTAGAAAGGAATTCTAGGCTAGGGCTGTAGCTCAGTGGTGTGGCACTTGAATAGCATGGGCAACACCCCAGCTTTGATCCCTACCACTGAAGGAGAAAATGAAAAACAGATGTCTAATAGAGCAAACAGAAAAAGTACTCAAATAAGAAATTTATTGCTAAATTTCTTGAACATTCCTCAATACTGATCTTTGCTTGGGTTTTGTTTTTGTGATGCAGACAATCAAATCCAGGACCTATGAATGCTAGACCAATGCTCTATCACTGAACTACACCCCTCAGCCCTTGGGTTTCTGTTTTTGTTTTTATTTTTTCTGCAGTGGATACTGAACTCAGGGCTTTACCCTGAGCTATATTCTCTGCCCTTTTTATTTTGAGACAGGGTCTCGCTAAGTTATGAAGTAGCCCAGGCTAGGTTCAAATTTTGATCCTCTTACCTCAGCCTCTCAGAGTGCTGGGGTTATAGGCATGGACCAGTACGTCTCACTAAGGTTTTGATTTTAAGAGCATCCCAAACTAAGCCTCTGCCTAAGCTTCAGTTTAGTAGTTGGCTGCCTAAAGATGCCAGAGCCTAGGTGTTTATAACAAGGTACAAACACATACCTGGCATGTGGAGGGCCAGCTGGATGGGAGGAACTGATATGATACATGAAAAATTGGGTATCAGTATCTAAACATTAACATACTTAGTTATGGGCAGTGTATTCTTTGTTTGCTCTACATTCCAGTCTACCTAAATGATTTCTACTTTGATGTGAACTTCATTAGTTGTAATTGACCTATTCTTAAACATTGCTGTTACTCTATAAAAGCCAATCTGAGATTACAGAGGTGCACTCCCACACCCAGCTAGGCACAAGGGTTTTCTGTTTGTTTGTTTTTTTAAACAGGGTCTCATTTTGTAGTTCAAGCTGGCCTAGAATTTATGGCAGTCCTCTTGCTTCAGCTTCCCAAGTGATGGGATTATGGGCATGCGCCACCACACCCAGTAAGATGTTTTTTAAATCCCCTGTCAAAGTATAGTCCTTGCAAGCACCTCATTTTTCCCATCCACTCCTACTTGGGTTACAAGTTTGATGAAATTCAAGTGTGTGGTGGTACACACCTGTAATCCTAGCACTCATGAGGCTGAGGCAGGAGGCTCACCATTGAGTTCCAGGCCCACCTAAGCTACATAGCAAAACCCAGTCTCAAAAAACAAATAAAATTTGACCAAACTCTGTAATGAACTCTTAGTTCCAGACAGGCTATCCAGCAGTTTCTTCCTCCATAATTCTGAATTTGTTATAGAGCAAAGGAAGCCGGAATATTGGATTTTCACATCTCCATCAGAGCTCTGCATCAGAAGTCGTTTATGGCGTTGTGAAGCTGATGACTCCGATGTGTAACCATCTGGAGAACATTCATAACTATTTTCAGGTTAGAAGACTGTCTTGTCATTAAGAAGACTTAGAAATCACTAAGTGAATATGAGATTTCATTGTTGGGTGAGAAAAACTGAAGAGAAGTGAGAGCAGTTGCTGGAGCAGCTGCTCTAAAATTGTTTTCCTTTTTAGTGCTTAGTCCCTGAGAATCATGACGTAGTGGGCGGACCCAGAGGAAACGCTCAGGAGTACCAAATAATGTCTTCCTGTTATCTGAGGCTCCTGCAGATTTTTCATTGGCTTTTTGCTTGGTGAGTATATGGGAAGTGTTAGTAGAGAGAAACAAATATGTACTTAATGATTAGGCATAAAAAGAGAAGGAAAAAGTCCAAAATAATATAACTATGGTGAATTTGTTCTTTTTCACTTGATCTTGTTTTATAGAGCCACTGTTGTTAACTCACTGTACAAAATAGGTGACTCATTGACTCTTGGCTAACCAATAACAAATGTGGCCATTTTACCCCTTCTCAGTTTCCTATGGCACACTGTGGAATAACTACCTAGATTGGTGTTTAAATTGTCTGAGTGTGGTACAGTGACACACACCTATGATCTCAGCTTCTTACGAGCCTGAAGCAAGAGGATCACAGGTTTGACGCCATTCTGTGCAACTTAGCAAGACCCTGTCTCAAATAAAAAAGGCTGGGGATGTAGCCCAATGGTAGATCCTCAGTCCTTTAAAAACATGTTTGTAGATCCAGATAGAGTACAGACCTGTAATTTTAGTACTCAGGTGCCTGAGCCAGGAGGATTACAAGTTTCTAGGCCAGCCTAAGCAAGGACAACCTGGACTACATAGGGGGACATTGTTTCCCAAAAGACAAACAAAACAGAAAGTGGGGGAGTTGTTTCTAGAGAAGTTATGAATAGTTCCTAGCTCGTGTGGTAAAGAGCTAAACGTAGTGTGAGCTAGGGTGTTTTGGGTAGGTATTCCAGGGGACTTGATCCTGCCCTTAAGGGTAGGTGACCTGGAGGGAGGTAAAGGAGAGATTTGGAAGGCACAGGATGGATGAAATTGAAATAAGGGAGGTATATCCCACAAACACTTTTGTGCCCCAGGTCTAGTTTTGTCCACTGTCTTCTTTACTCAGGTTTTCCGGACAGTCTAACCCAAGCTTAGATTTATGCTAAATTTTATATGCTGAGCTGTAGGCATTTACATCCAGCTACCTACTCAGCACCGCCCCCATGATGTGTCATTAACACCTCAGACTCCTGGCATCTCAGCAGGATGTGTCATCAGTGTTGTCTGGCTCTGCCTGGGTTGGTAAAGGGTACTGCCAGTTGTTCCTCCATCTACTCTGCACTTTTTCCACTCCCACGTGTGATCCATCTGTCCTCTCTACACTCTTTCCAGACTTTATTCTTCTCTCACTTCAACCAGATTAATTTCATAGTTGGTCTTGGCCTCTGGGCACTATGATCTTCCAAGACAGACCCAATCTCGTCTTGTCCTAGTCTTGGTCTTTGATTGCTATTTGGTTTTCCTTGAGATCAAACTCTTGAGCTTCTCTCAGGACTTCTCCTGCCTCATTCTTGCTGTTCTACTTACTGTCTTGCTCTCTGCTTCCACCCATACTTAGTTCCTTTCAGCACCCTACAGTTTCCACCTGGACAGCTTCACACAGCCTCAGCCAGGATCCCTTTCTCTTTGAGTCTTTTCTGACTCATCAAATCTCATGAGATCAGAATTTAAACTCACTTCTTCAGAGATACCTTCTGTAGCCCCTAGGCTAGGTAAACTTCTTTCCTGCCTCTCTGATCCCCAGTTTCCTCCTAACACTGTGCTAGCATCTTATAGAACTTATCACATTTTCTTACAATTATTTGTTCGTCTGTCTTTCCTGCTGGACTATGAGCTCCATCAGTCATTTTTGTATCATTTTGTATCATTACCTGAAAGTAGTACCTAACAAAAGATTTGAATGGAAGTCAAGACAGATATAAGTAGCAAATAAATACATGAAGGGATGATTTTTGTTAGATATTAAGGGCATGCAAATTAAAAGCACAGTGAGATAGCACAGCATCCCCACTAGCATGACTTAATCAAAGAAACACCACACCAGGCGTCAGTGAGGCTGCAGTACAGTGGGGGCTCTTTATGCTATGGAGCGGATATAAAATGGTGGAGCCAATTTGGAAAACAGTTTGGGAGTTTGTTAAACAGACACACATATAATTCAACCCAGTCATTCCCTAGGTATTTACTCAGAGTCTTTGGATTTTTTGAGACAGAGTCATGCTATATCCCAGGCTGGCCTTGAACTCTTGGGATTATAGATGAGTGCCCAGCTCCACACAAAGTCTTATACTTGAGCGTGTTTATAGTATCTTTATTTGTAGTGTCTTCAGAGTGGAAACAAGCCAGATGTCCATCAGCTGGTGAATATATAGACAAACTGTGACATATCCATATGGTGGAATGCTGCAAACAGAAACAAATAAAAAAGGATCACATTAAACTAAAAGCCAGACTGCCGGGTTCATAGTATTTTAACCTATTTATATAATACTCTAAAAAAGTCATATAATGTTACTGTGATGGAAAACAGATCAGTGGTTGCCTAGCACTGAGCAAGAGGATGAAAGAGGGAATGAATTACAAAGGTGAAGAAAGGAAACTTGGGGGTAATGGATATGTTCATTATCTTCCAGTGATGATTTCCTGAGTTTTTAAATCAGAATTGACAAATCCAACACTTTAAAAATATGTACTTCATAAGCTGGGTGTGGTGGCACATACCTGTAATCCCAGCACTCGGGAGGGTGAGACAGGAGGATCACTGTGAGTTTGAGGCCAGCCAGGGCTACATAGTGAGACCTGTCTCAAATGAAACAAAATACAAAGAGAGAGTGAGCGGGAAGTAGAATCATTGAGACTTGACATGTGAATGTAGAGAAAGGGTAGAGTCTTTATCCAGCCTCTAAATTAGTCTAGACATTGACTTGGCAATTTGACGAAATTAGTGGTATATTGTTGGAGAAACTTACCTCTCAAACGTAGGCAATGAGGAGCTTTCTTTTTCCCCAACGATAAACCCATAGGAACTGTTAGGTTCTTAAAGAAAGACTTTTAAATGCACTTCAGCTTCTCATCTCACACTCAGGAGCTATGGCTGTATTTGATGCTTGTGTACTTTTGGTTACTTTTTACACTGTTGACTTGTTGATGGCACAGACTGGGGCCAGGGTCCTCAAATGCCATCTAACTTGTCTCCCAAAAACAGCTACACAACCTTACTTTGACTTTCGTTTAGGAGTGGATTTTCTCACATTGAGAATCACCGTTTTCTGTGCTCAGCCCTTGAGGTGCTTACTGGACGAGTGACGCAATTGCAGCGTAATGAGTCCTTGGAGGAGCTTATCAGGTTGGTGATCATGTATATCCTCCAGCGCTTTCCCAGGAAGTGGATCAGGAGGATTTCTTTGGAAATGTTTGGTTATCAGTAGTTGGGAAGGAAATTGATGTTTTCAGCTATTTTCCCTCAGCATATGAGGTTTCTCACCTATGTGTTCTGATTAATTCTGAAGTATTGGGAGCCCCAGGCCAAATTATTTTAAGTTCTCATGCATAATTTGGCGTAATTGTGATTCCCATCTCCCATTATGTCCTTGAATGGAAAGTAGATCATATATGATAGTCATTAAAAGCTGTGCTTTCTCTACCTTGTAAGTGCTTTCCACATTATCTCTAGTGAATGTAGATTTCTTTTTCAATTTAAAAGGAGAAAAGGAGAGCCAGACATGGTGGCTTATGCATATAATCCAGCACTCAGGAGTCTGAGGCAGATGGATTGTCACAAGTTCAAGGCCAGCTTAGGCCACATAGTGAGTTCAAATCCAGCCTGAACTGCACAGTGAGACCCTGTCTCAAAGCAAAACAAAACAAAAAAACACCCAAAAAAGGAGGATAATTCTGGTCAGGCTGTCAAGCAGTAATGGAACTTGAGCAACTCCTATGGATTTAAACCTATATACGTGTTTGTTTCTTGTCTCTGTACAGCCAGAGCTTCAGTTACCTGCAGAACTTCCACCTCAGCATCCCCAGTTTCCAATGTGGGCTTTGTCTCCTCAGAACTTTGATGGCCCTTTTCAAGAGATCAGTAGATCCTGCTCAGAAGAAAGAAAAAATTGGTGATACCCCAAATCCTCCTTTGGTTTTTTTTTCTTCTTTTTTTTCCCCATGAATAGATTAATTCCTTATACTTGTGAACTTGTAACTTCCCAGAACTTGGATATTTATTCATATAAATCCTTATATAACCCTGGGCATGGGTCTTACAAGAAGACTAATTTCCCAGAAGGGGCTATGACTGATTTCTACTGACACTGCTAGGGGTGACTTTGGTTAGATTAGCTAGCTAACTAGTTTATTTTCTTTCTTTTGAGGTGATGGGGATTGAAGCATGTTCTACCACTGAGCTATACACTCATGGATAATTTTATTTTTGGCTTAAATTTTAATCATATGTTGCTGCTTTTTAAAAAAAAAAATCATCTGATACATTTGGCAAAAAGAAACAAACCATGTGGTTAATAGAGTGGTAGATAAAATTAGGATCACGTATAAAGGAAATATTGGCCCCTTCCCTGACCTTTCTTTCTCTTTCTGTTTGCTTTCTTTCTTTCTTTCTTTCTCTTTCTTTTTTTCTTTCTTTCTTTCTTTCTTTCTTTCTTTCTTTCTTTCTTTCTTTCTTTCTTTCTTTTGTTTTTTGAGACAGGGTCTCACTGTAGTTCAGGCTCTTTCTCTTTCTTTCTTTCTTTCTTTTGTTTTTTGAGACAGGGTCTCACTGTAGTTCAGGCTGGTCTTGAACTCACTATGTACCTCAAGCTGGCCTCAAATTTACTATATAATCTAGATTGACCTCAAACTCGTGGTGGTCCTCCTGCCTCAGCCTCTGGAGTTCTAGGTCTTTTGAGACAGGAGGATTACAGTATGTTCCAGTCTGGCCTAGGATTTGTAATTTTCCTGCCTCAGTCTCCCAAGTGCTGGGATTACAGGTGTATGCTACCACATCCTGATCCCTAACCTTTTTTTCCCTTCCATTGTACTAGAGACTGAACCCAGGGCCTTTGCGCTGAATTACATCCCCAGTTGTTTTTTTTATTTTGAGATAGAATCTTGCTAAGTCACTAAAATGTCCAATCTAGGCTTGAACTTGCAGTTCTGCCTCACCTTCCAGAGTTCTGGGATTACAGATGTGCAGAACCACACCTGGATCCGACCTTTTCCTTTTCTTATCACAACTCTTGGAATCCTGCTCATCCTACTTGGTAGCACAAACAGAAAGCAAAATGATGATGTGAAACAAACCTTTATTTCCCGCTGGTGAGAGGGAAGGTCTGAGTCTGAAACTGGGATAACTGTTGTTCTTGGTCTGCCTGAGAAAGCAAGCCCAGCTTTCCACTGCTAGCAGCACTCTGCTCTGTGTGTCTGTGTGGTCCCTCTGTGTTTGTTGAGGGGCAGGCTGATGGCTGCTATGTGCTGATTCTTGGATGGGTTTATTTCTGGCAGAAGGGTCACTGGAACAGAAATAAACAAGATTTTAAAAAGGCCTCTGGGACTTCTTAGTTAATGAAAATCCTTTTGATCAGTAATTATCTCCAAAAGTGTGAGAGACATGAATCAGTTTATCTGATCATTACACATTATCTTCATATATTGAAATATGGTATACCATTAATATAATACAATAATTATGTCAATTCATTCTTTTAATTTTTTTTTTTTTTTTTTTTAAGAATAAGGTCAGTTTCTCTCACACATGAGATGCCTTTGCCTTGTTTTCTAACAGCTTCCCTGGCCAGACAGTTCCTCTGCCGGGCATGGCCGCACGGGGAGAAGGAGAAGAGCACTCTCTTCAGGGACCAGCTTCAGGACTTGCTCTGGTGAGGTGTTCCATTTCTTCCACAGAGCCAAATAGCCTTTTCCCACTTACACCATTGGTACCCCTCATCTGGGAAGACTGAGGAGCCACCTTCTTCAGGGGGAACTTGAGAGCAATGAAGTATGTTTAAAGTGAACAGAACTTGAGATCTGTGGGTCTTAAGTACCTCTGCAATAGCAAGTAGAAACATCAAAACAGCACCCAGGATTTGGAGGCAGATTTATTTATGTCGATGGGCACTGATCAGAATCATTCCCAGAATATCAGGCCCTGATCTCTGGTGGTCTAGGGCTTATATTGGATAAGCAAGCAGGAAGTACAGAGGCAAAATGACTTGTCAGTTGAGAGTTGATTTATATAATGTGCATCACAGTGACCAGGTGTTTCTAAGAGACAGGAACAACCAGATCTGGAACAGGAACTCTTACCTGGGCAACTAAGAAACCCAAGTATACTGGTTGCAGGGGCATTTTTTGTTATACCTCTAGTTCTGCTTTCTACTGTTAACTAATGCCTTGTTGCTAAATCAAATCAGATAGGAAATGGAAGTGTCTTCAGTTTTATCCTGCCTTGTTAATAATTGAGTTAAATAAAGCTTATAGCTGGCGATGTCTCAGGAGAGAAATATGGACATAGGGATTCCTTAGCCAGTGTTCATGCCCTCTAACTCTCCTTATAGCATCTACTTGGAGCACACTGACAGTGTGCTGAAGGCCATAGAGGAGATTGCTGGTGTTGGTGTCCCGGAGTTAATCCACTCTCCAAAAGAGGCCTCTTCTTCTACATTCCCCACGTTGACCAGGTATACGGGCTCTTCCCCGTAGTCATTTTCCTAAGATAGAGTCAGACTGCCCAATGGATATGTTTTCCAAGTTCTGATAGAGGTGGTGGTACCATCATTCATTTAGAATGGAGTATCTACTACTATGCCTTGCTTCAAAGGGACCCTCAGCTGGTCTGTGGAAGAACCGCACTGGAAAGAAATTTTCAGTAGGTGCATTAGAAGGGTAATGAACTTCTCCTATCTGTGCTTTTATCATTTAAACTTGAGACTAGAGCTGGAAGTGTAGTTCAAGGTAATACACAATGCTTAGCGTGCATGAGGCATGTGTTCAATCCCAAGGATTACAAAACAAACGAAACCAAAATAACTAGGCATGGTAGGTAGCATATGCCTGTAGTGACAGCTACTTGAAGGTTGAGGCAGGAGGGTTTCACGTTCAAGCCCAGCCTGTACAACTTAATGAGACCCTTTATCAAAATAAAAATGAAAATAGGACAGGGGATATAGATATAGTTCAGTGTGAAGGCCCTGAGTTCAATCTCATGCCACAAAATTTTTTTTGAAAAATTAAACTTGAGACCATTTTCTAGTCTTTTGAACACTATGAGGACAGGGTGACTGTTGTATCTAAACATGTATCTCTAGATGGGTTTGTGTCTCATAGTAGTTCTCCTGTACTTGTGTGGTTCATAAAGCACCTTCACAAATCTTACTTTGCCAAATCTTGTTTGGTCCTTTCTATAATTCTGTAAAAGTGGGCACGATTGTCCTACACTACAGTTGAGGAAAACGAGAGTTAAAAGGGAACGTCTCAAGCTTACATGGGCAGTAAAATGACCACAGACCAGGGCTCAGCCTAGATCTCCCCACTGGTTCACTGCTCTTCCCATACCACCTGCTGCCGCCTGTCATGAAAGTTAGCTCCATTGTTTCACAGGGCTCATTCTGGCTTCTTCCTACTCTTCTACCCTCTTTCAAAGGACTCTAGTGAAAGAATATTCAGAAAGGTGGGGAAGGAAGTTACTTTTGTCCTCCTGAACTTTTCCCCGGATGTCTCAGTGTGTGTCTTGTCTGTCTCTGCCTTTTTCCTTCTTTGTTTTTTCTTTTCTTTTTTGCAGTACTGGGGATTAAACCTAGGGCCTTCACTGAGTTACGTCCCCAGGCCTTTCTTATTTTGAGAAAATGTCTCACTGATTTGCCAAGGATGGGCTTGACCTTGTCATCCATGTGCCTCGGCCTCCTGGTTGCTGGGGTTACTAGTATGTGCCCCTGTGCCTGGCCCCAGAAGTTCTTTCTGAGCACGGCATCCTTATGTGGGTGTGCTTGGTTCTCTCTTTTAGGCACACTTTTGTCATTTTCTTCCGTGTGATGATGGCTAAACTGGAGAAGACAGTAAAAGATCTTCAGGCTGGCTCAGCGGCACAGCCACCACAGGTGAGTCAGATGCTTCCTTCACCAAGAAATGGACTCTGATTTGCTTGGAAATTGCTTATTCTTTTATTTCTTGGGTCCATGGTTTTTCTTAAGCTATTGCCTTTGATTTAGCAAGATTTAGAATTTTTTTTTCAAAGGCCTTCTGGTTTAATATCCTTTTCCTGTAGTTAAGAGTCAAAAATCATGCAGTTTTCTCTGGCTACTGGGGATAGATAGGAAGGGAAAGGCTACCTGGTTGAAGGTAAGCCAGTCTGTTTGAGACGTGTGGGCCTTGGCAGCCCATGCACTAGAACTGAGCAAGACTGTCGAGCAAGGGCAGGCCCAAGGAATCTGGAGCCAGTGAGCTCTGTTGGCCATCAGGTGTGCTATAGAGGCATTTACCTATGTGGAAATTACCAGAGGACTCCTTAGAGTACTGTGATGTCATCTCAGAGTGGCAGGGTTCAGGCCATCTTCTGAATGCATGCAGGTGCACTGCATGCTACAATTCTTTGGAGGGCCATTTGACTTCTGTCTCAGAATAGCTGTGCAAATGAAGACTTATGCCACAGTGGAAGTCCATTCAGAGGCACTGGTGTGTTTGGCATCCCCAGGTCCATGAAGAGAAGCTCCTCTATTGGAACATGGCTGTTCGAGACTTCAGTATCCTCATCAACCTGATAAAAGTGAGTATGGAGCTTACCTGATCTGTCTCACTGCGACACTGAGAAATCGGAACTGGCTTTCAAAGCTGCCCCACCTTGCTCCTCTCCTACCTTCTTCAGGGAGCCCTGCCAATTGTCTTCCTCCCACGTCTCTTAACCTGTCCTCCTGGGGCGACTTTCTCTCCTTAGGTGCTGTTGTTCCTTTTTCCCCTGCCTCCCACCTGGGCCACATGACTTAGCCACCTGTCATTCTTGCTCCTCTGCCATTGGAGCCCACTCTCTCTTCCTACCTTGAGTGCTTTCACTGCCCGTCCGATAACCTGCTCTCTCCTGCCCACAGCTTCTGCTCAGGCTTGTGCGTTAGCCCTGGATGTCCCCTCTCCCTTGCCCTTCCCCTCCCTCATGACACCGTTCTGAAGACTGCAGCCCTCTGACAAGCCATCTCCACGTGCCCAGTGGGAATCATTTCCTTTGCTCCTTTGCTCCTCTCTTCCTTAGAGTTCAGTTATGGGGGTTACTTTATTCTGCAAATTAATTTGTAATAAACCAGCCAACATGCTGCCTTCAATTTAGAAGTTTCTGCAGCTCCTGGAGCTATGCTGTGCACGGTAGGAAGAGGCCGGGTACTGGAGGAGCTGGCTTCAGCTTTAATTTCTTGTCTTTTATGTCTGTAGGTATTTGATAGTCATCCAGTGCTGCATGCATGTTTGAAGGTGAGAGATTTACTGGACCTTGTTTAGTATTTGTTTTTTGGTACTAGGGATTGAACCCACATGCTCTATAACTGAGTTACACCCCTATTTTTGTTCTTTGGTTTTTTATTTGTTTTTGAGACAGAGTCTACCTAAGTTGTCCAGACTGGCTTTGAATTTGTTATTTTCATGGCTCACCTTCCTTAGTGGTAAACTTCGGCTCCTACACCTGGCGTGATTCTTTGCAAAGCTGTAGGGCCAGGTCTGTGGCTATAGCGTACTGGTGGAGCACTAGCTTACATGCCCAAGGCCCTGGGTCCATCTTTAGCACTGCGAGGAAAGAAAATGAAAAGGTGTTGGGGCAGCCTCATGAGCTGTTACTATGATAACTGCTGAGCCCCTTTTCCATGGAGGGTTCTCAGAATAGTAACCACTCTTGAGTTGTCTGTGCAAGTAGATGATATACTCCTCTCTACTCCAGATTTTTTTTTTTTTTTTGGTGGTAGTGGTACTGGAGATTGAATTCAGGGAGTGCTGAGCTATATTCCTATCTCTGTTAATTTAAGACAAGCTCTCATGAAGTTGTCTAAGCTGGCCCTTGACTTGTAATCTTCCTGGCTCAGCTAGGAATTACAAATGTGTCCCACCTCATCTGGCCTGGTGTCCTATTCTTGTTTTTTCTTGACCTTTTCCCGTTTTCCACTCATGTCAGCTGGCACAGTATGGAAGCCCTGTCAGTCAGAGGGAATGATTTCTGTGATTGGCAAGTTTGGAAATCAGCCATAGCTCCTTCAGCCCTCTGAAGCTCCTTCCTCTTGGGAATAAGTTACCCTCAGGCTGGCGTTCCTTCTCCTCACACTTAGGCTGGGCAAGGCGCCCCTGGCCATTGGCTATATCTGAGGCAGGTAAATTCTGCCTGCACTCTCCAAATCAACCTTTTAAACTGTTCCAAAGTTGTTTTGTTGGGCCTCACCCTTGCTGCTAAGGTACATCCCTGGTCCTTTTGAGAGAAGGTCTGAGTTGCCCAGGCTAGTCTTGAACTTGCAGTCCTGCCTTGGCCTCCCTAGTAGCTAAGATTATAGGTATGCACCACCATGCTTGGGTCATTTTTGGGTTTTTGTTTCTTTGCTTTGTTTTGTTTTGTTTTGAGACAGGGTCTTGCTATGCAATTCAGGCTGGTCTTGAGGTCACTGTGTAGCCCAGGCTAGCTTCAAACTTGTGGCAATCCTTCTGCCTCAGCCTCCCAAGTGCTAGAATCACAGGTGGGCACCACCATGTCCAGCTCAAATTTGTCTTTTTATGTATAAAAATAAAAACATAACCTCCTTGGGCTAGGTAATGCTGTGCTGTTGCTGGCAGAGACTTTTCAAGTGAAGCTCCAGGCTGGAGTCACCAGTATGTCTCTTTTTTTCAGTATGGACGTCTCTTTGTGGAAGCATTTCTGAAGCAATGTATGCCTCTCCTGGACTTCAGTTTTAGAAAACACCGGGTAAGAGCTGAGAGCAAAGGCATGCTCTGAAGAGTCTGAAGAGTTACTTAGAAGATAAGTCCACAGACTCTGGGGGTGGGAACTGTCCCCCAGCCTGAGTTCTGAGTCACAGTTATATTTGACACGACTTTAGGTATAGCCTGAGATGTCCTGACAGGACTGAGTGTTCCACGGTGGCCTGCATGCTGCAGGCCCACTCAGTTCAAAGCCAGCGCTCTACTCGTACTCCCACACTGAGGAGTCCCCTTCAGCTCGCTTCATCATGCTGCTGGACCCCAGGGCTTCACATGTCAGCATGTCGTGTGCTTGTTTTGGGCTACCCTGTGTCTACTCTTAGGAGCCAGTAATGAAAATAGACCTTGTTTGTGTCATAAAACTTGTGTTAGTGAGTAGTCTCAGTGAGGATTTTTTTAGCCAGGTGACACCTGGGGCTAGAGTTGTAAAGACAGAAATAAAGATAACTTCTTACACATATTTTGCAAATTGACTTTGCAAAATACCAAAATCCCTAATATTTGCTATTTGGTTAGTTCTTCATAATGCTCAAAGAGAAAAGAGAAGTGCTGGGGCTGGGGATTTAGCTCAGCGGCAAAGCACCTGCCTGGCAAGCGCAAGGTCGTGAGTTCGGTTCCCGGTACCAGAGAAAAACCAAAAAAGATACTGAGAAAAAAAAGAAAAGAGAAGTGCTATTTTATCCTAATTTGCCATTGGAAAAGCTGAGACATGAAATGTACTTCAAACCATAATATACATCTTGCAACTTGCAGATTGACACAGGGACAGAAGCTGGAGAGTGAGAGCCAGTGCTCCTGCTGAGAATCAGATTAAGATGACTGTCCCCCTAGGCTGGAGCCCGCAGTTTCACCTTTTTGGATGCAAAGATGTTTTCTGTCTAAAATGCAATTAGGATATTTCATGCTGCGCTTATGAATTTTGTTGTTTTTAGGAAGATGTTTTGAGCCTGCTGGAGACCTTCCAGTTGAACACGAGGCTTCTTCATCACCTGTGTGGGCATTCTAAGGTAAGAGGAAGCAAGTCTTAGCCTCCATTTCCAGGACAGGGGTCCCACCGCCATTCCGAGCCTTCATACAGGGGACTGTATGCAGAGGCGATTTATTCAGTGCAGTCAGCCCTCATGATGCCCACCGCTAGAATTCCAGCTACTCATGAGGCTGAGCCAGGATTACAAGTTTGAGTCTAGCCTGGGCAACTTACCAAAACTCTGTCTCAGAATATAATAAAAAGGGCTCAATGATAGTGCATTTTTGTAGCAGGTGCAAGTGCCTGAGTTTAGTCCCCACTACCACTGAAGGAAAAGAGAAGGAAAACTTAAGTTGCTGGTTGAGATTGAGCCATTCCCTAGAATGGGAAATTCTGTATCTGAAGTTTGACTCCAATTCCATAGGCATGAGGAACATACAGTGCTGCTACAAAGTGTGCTAGTTGTGAGAAATGTGCGTGGTGACTACTGAGACAGGAGTCTTGCTAAAGCAGCCAGCTGAGAACTTTTCATCTGTTCTACTTCTCAAGTAATACATCTGTCTCCTCTGGGAACAGTTCAGCATTAAAGGGCTTCCACTTGATACCCTCTCAACAGTTGGTGAAACAGTCCTTACATCTGAAGGAAGTCAACCCCTAGAGTTCTGTAGCCACCTAGCAAACCAAATGATCCTTTGAGCAGTTCCTGTTGCTCTCTTCGGTCCCTGGTTCTAAACTTAGAAAGTGCCTAATAGCCAGATATGGTGGTACACACCTGTTATTCCAGAATTTGTGAGGCTGAGGCAGGAGGATCGCCACAGATTCAAAGCCAGTGTTGGCTACATGGTGAGTTCAAGGTCAGCTTGTACTGCATACAGAGACCCTGTCTCCAAAAAACCAAAAAGGGCATTCAGTGGCGTTTTAAGGACTTAGTTAAACAGCTTTCTGTTGTTTAATCAGTATAATATTGGCTCAAGAGTATTTTAGGTGAATGCATTGCTGATTGGTCAGTAAGAGGTCAAAAAGAAGAACCTAAAAGTATTGGTGGTATATTTGCCTTACTTTCAATCTTTTAGCTACCATTGTCTGTGTAGTACTCTACGAAGGTCCTGCTATTTGATGGGCCTTGTGTCTGAGCTGTATAGGCAGTGTTGGAGATATTACTCTGTTCATGGTGTGAGGAATAGGAAGGGTGAGAGCTCGATGACAAACCCAGACAGAATGGATATATTCATTTTCATCTAGATTCACCAGGACACCAGACTCACCAAACATGTTCCTTTGCTCAAAAAGACACTGGAGCTGTTGGTTTGCAGAGTCAAGGCGATGCTTGTCCTCAACAATTGCAGAGAGGCTTTTTGGCTAGGCAATCTCAAAAACCGCGACTTGCAGGTAAGCCTGAAGACTGCCAGTGGTAATCTCCTTCGTCCTGAGTATTAAAAGGAATTTAAGAAAGGTAACCTCATCACTGCTTGTTTGATAAGACTATTTTTAAGTCTGTGGCTTTCAGTTCTTAGAGTGCCCTGGTGACAGGGCTGTCTCAGGCTATATCACTCATCCCAGATAGCAGAGGAGCAGAAATCTGCCGTTGATGTCAACAAAGCCTCAGCAGCATCTTCTGCCTTACTGAGGGGAGAGTCACAGCACCAGTTTTGTATATGGCAAATTTCCTTTTAGTTATTTTGAATTTTTTCCTAAAGTAATCTTATTTCTGAAGTTGCTTTCTGGCTAATTTTATCACATGAACATCTGTAGGGTCTTTCAGTTATCTGATTGGCTAAAACCTTGTGTTGCTGGCCAGCCATGGTGGCACATGCCTGTAATCCCAGCAGTCCTCGAGGCAGGAAGATCATGGAGAATTCGAGGCCAGCCTGAGCTACATAGCAAGACCCTGTCTCAAAAAACCAAAACTAAGAACCATGTATTGCTTTTTTTTACTGCTTTGGAGTTTCAGGGTTTTTCCATTTGTCATTCATGTTTACAGTGTCTTGAGTTCTAGAATTGGTTATATGTGAAAAGAACACCTCAGAGAAGTAGCTTCCTTTCTTCACATCAACCTTGAGAGGTAGATTCTGTTGAGAAAACTGAAGCTCAGAGAAGGAACCTCATAAGGCCATTTGGCAGTGTGGAAGTAGCTCCCGGATTTGAGTCCACCAGTGATCAGAGCTGGTGTTCTTCAGCCACTTGACTACCCTGTTCTTCAGCCTCTCCCTCATTTGTAGCTAGTTTGTGGGGTTTATCTGCCTGAAAGTTCTGGGGAAATTTTAGATCCACATTAAGTGTTCACTGACTCATATATAATCTGACCTTGCAAAATCCAATGTGATATTAGGAAACAAAGCTGTACCTTTTGTGGAACTTCCTGCTGCATCAGAGGACAGCGGTCTGAGGTAGAGGGTTGAATATCCCTTTTTTGATGCTGGTTTGCAAGTTGGTGTCCATGTTCTTATTGCCTATGAACTCACATTCTCTGTGTCCTGAGACCCTGAGTATACACATTATGACCTACCATTGTCTGATTCTTTCACATCTAGGGTGAAGAGATTGTGTCCCAGGATTCCCAGGGGAGCACAGCAGAAGAAAGTGAAGACAACACAGCATCCCAGGTCTCCCAGAGCAACACTGCCCAGGTATCTGCAGAGAGCACCAGAGTCTGACCCTGAGGGCTGCAATGGGGTTGAACCCAGAGCCTTTGCACTGACCTAATCTCCAGCCCTTTTTTGATTCTTAGTTTGAAACAGGGTCTCACTAAGTCACTAATTTTCCCAGGCTGGCCTCAAACCTGTGATCCTCCTGCCTCACACTCCCAAGGAGCTGGGATTGCAGGCGTATGCTACCATACCCAGCTCCCTGCTTATATTTATCATCAGATACTTCTATCCTTGTCCTCATTCCCTTCAGTTACATTGTTTTGTTGGTTGGTCATTTGAGACCAGGTCTTGCTATGTAGTGCAGGCCAGCCTTAAACTCATTATGTAGTTCAGAGCGGCCTCAAAGCTGCCTCAGCCTCCCAAGTGCTAGGATTACCACACTTCCTCCCAGCTATGGTGGAAGGCCCCCACACCCAACTTCCATTCCCATCAGAAAAGCTTCTTGGCTTTTATTAATGATTGGGAGCTCTCAAAAAATAATTATAATATAAAAAAAATTATAATCTGAGAATTGAATATCTCAAGTTCAAAACCAGCCTGAACTACATAGTGAGACTTTGTCTCAAAAACCAAAACAAAAGGCCACTGTGTTGTCTCTTGCGTGGTGACACACCCTCACACTGTAGAGTGTACTTCTTTTCTTTTACTTGGCCCAAGCTTGCTCCGCAGAACCTGTTTCTTTTTTTCCTATCTTTAATAAAACTTTGCTACCATTAAAAGAAAAACAAATACTGATTATCTGAAGCTGGGGCATGTTATGCCCTTGAAAGTTCTATTCTGTGGGGCTAGAGATTGATTGATTGCTTGATTTTGGGGGGTACTAGGAATTAAACTCAGTACCTTATACTTGCCAGTCAGGCACTTGTGCCACTGAGCTATAACCCTGGCTTCCTAGGGGCTAGAGATATAACTCAGTGGTAGAGTATATACTTAGCAGGCACAAAAACCTGGATTCAATCCCCAACACCAAAAACAAAGAGAAAGAAAAAAATGAAAATTTCTTTCCTGTTTTTCATGAACTCATACATGAAGACTCTAGAAGACAGAAGAGGTGAGAGTGTTCTGAGTGTTGAGAAGATTGAGTTAAACCATCTAAATACAAAGACAGAAATGCTAGAGCCTTGGGTGAAAGTCAAAGCTGAGGGGCTGGGGATTTAGCTCAGCGGCACAGCGCCTGCCTGGCAAGCGCAAGGTCGTGAGTCTGATTCCCAGCACCGGAAAACAAAACAAAACAAAACAAAAAAATGTCAAAGCTGAGACCTAGAAGCTGCCACAGAAGAATAAAAATAGTGGAGGACCTTATACCTTACTGTGATACAGGTGCTTTTGCAGATTTTTTCAAAAGCTTAATATAAACATATGCATATTATGTGATGTTTCTACATACATGCTAGGCAAGCACCCTACCACTATATGTAGCTCCTTTTGGGGTATTTTGTTTGTTTTTGGTTTTTTTATAACCCGGGAATAGAATTGTGCTTGCCAGGCAGGTGCTGTGCCACTGAGCCACATCCTTGGCCTCTGTTTTGTGTTTTTTGAGGTGAGGTCTTGCCAACTTGCCTGGGCTGGCCTGGAACTTTTGATCCTCCTGGCTTAGCATCCTGAGTAGCTGGGATTAGAGGCACGTACCACCACTCTGACGAAGAATTTGAGGCAAATCATATCCTTTTAACTTGGTTCGTTCTCCTAAGTAAACCTCCCATGTTTGAGTTGGAAACTAACAATTTATGATGGATTCTTTTTAGATACAGCAGTACTTTTAATAACTATTTCATTCTATACTGAATGACACTGTGGCTTTCTTACTACGTCACATTCATGCAGAAGAGCTGGAGGGCTAGGGTTTATTTTTAAAAATCACACAAATTTGGTTCAGTTATGGTATGAGGCAGTAGCAGGGTGACCTCTGTCCATGGTCTTAGCTTAGAATTCATAAATCAAGAAGAATTGGGGGTTGTCAATCACAGGCCCATTGGCTTCTTCATCCTGGGACACTGCAGTGAGCACCAGACCTTCAGCTGGATCCTGCAGACCACTAGATCCTCTGCTCACTTCCACATCCAGCTCTGCTGATTGCCATTCTGCCCCTCTAACACCTTGGAAAATTACTAACTGCACTCTTAACCCTCAACATCAGCTTCCCAGAAGATGGAGTGCCGAACAGCAGAGAAATAGCCTTTCTGTGATTTAGTGTTCAGATGCTAGAATATAGCAACATGAGGAAGAGGAGGAGGAGGGAAGTAGGTCCCTGGAACCCAGCAAGGATCTTTTTCTTTTTTTTCTTCTGTTCGTTGTTTTTATGTGTGTAAACATTATTTCTAGTTTTTTAAGTTATTGTCCTGTTGTGTTCTGTCCTTTTTTTTTCTTCGATCTCTCTTTTCCTCCTGTCTTCTTTATCAGTTTCCCAAAGTTGTGTAATGTTTCTTTGCCCGTCAGCCTTTTAAGCTCTTCTTCAATTTCTCTATTTTTCCCCCCAAAGCCCCTGAAGGAAAAATTGCCATATTGAGGGGATATTTATTGTATACAAATTTCTGGTTTTAGATTTTATTATATAATCACAAATCTGGTTCATATGCTTAAATGTGGCAAATTAATACCACAGTTTGTCATTCTTTGGGCTATGTTTAATGCCATTGTTACTGCTGATTGTACTACTTTACCCAAGGTGACATAATTGTTTTAATCAAATTGTTTTTCCTGGTGTACCAAGACTGAGATTGCCTAAGGGTCGTGAACTGTACAACAGGCCAGTGCCAAAGATCCAGGGTCTGGGCCAAGTAGACAGCAACTTCTCATCCTGAATAAATTGAAGAGGCAGGATCTTCAAACAGACATAAAACTGAAAAGTTAGCTATGTCTGGACGACATCTCTGAGAAGTAGTCATTTCCTAAGGGTTCTCAATACCAGCCATAAGCAATTTACAAGCATCAACCCAGGAATTAAACTTTAAAAAAAGGAAAGAGAAGACAATTAAATAAGATGCAGCCCCACACTTCCAGCTCACCAAAGGTAATCCCAGGGAGCAATGAGGTGGAACAATGGAAAAGACATCCACCTGGACTCTTTGAAGTGGTAACAGCAAAAGTAACAGAGCACATGAATGAGGCTCTAGGAAAAATCAAACCAGAAATAATCTCTTAATGGCAATCCACTTTCAGGCCCCGTCTTGTCTATTGGGAGCTATCTCTCTCAGTAAATTTTCCTACTCTTAACCTCCATTGTTCCTTAGAATTCATTCTTCAGATTTGGGGAACATAAACTTGCCATATCTGACATCTAGCAGGTTGAGAGTTATATTTCTCCTATAATATTCTGTCCCCCAAAAAGAAAGAAACACAGACAACTAGAAATGGTAACCCTAATGAAAGACATGGTTAGTGATTAAAGCAATACAGATTTTAAAAAATAGCAGAGCTTCCGAAATTGGTAGAAACCGTGAACACGCAACACAGTAAAGAAATGGGATGCATGAAACAGATTCAAAGAGATATCCAGGAGATGAATTCTGTTGAAAGTATATGCAGAAAGCCACATTTGATGACACATTCCTGTAATACCAGCACTCGGGAGGCTGAGGCAGGAGGATTGTTGCGAGTTCAAGACCAGCCTGGGCTACAAAGTGAGCTCAAGGTCATCCTGAACTGCATAGCAAGACCCTGTCTCAAAAAGACAAAAAAAAGTATATGCAGAGGACAGAATATCAGATATAGAAGACAGAATTGCAGCTAGTGATTATGAAAAGAATGATTTAAAAATAAGGTTCCATGAAAAATCAATCTAATGGGTGCTAGATGATACAGAGCTGAATAACATCAGTTTAATAGGAGTCAATCAAAAAACAGACATCACAAAGAACATTAAAAAAAACCTGGATATCAGGAAATGGAGACTTATCCCTTGTTCTTGGGTAGGAAGAACAAATATAGTGAAAATAGCCATACTTCCAAAATTGTTACACAGTTTTAATGCAATCCCCATCAGAATTCCAGCAGAGAGCCGGACATGGTGGCGCACGCCTGTAATCTCAGCACTTGGGAAGCTGAGGCAGAGGATCATTGTGAGTTCAAGACCAGCCTGAACTGCAGAATGAGACCCTGTCTCAAAAAAAAAAAAAAAAAAAAAAAAAATTCCAGCAGCATATGTCACAGAATTATAGAAAACAATCCTAAAATTCATTTGGAACCAGAAGAGACCTAAAATTGCAATTCTAGGCTACAGCACTTTTGTGAGTTGGAGGCTTGGGAACTACTCAGGGGCAGAGGAGATAAGAAAGTGCAGCTTTGATGGGGTGCTGAGGAGGTCCTGGCCTGGCATCGGGGCTGGGTATGTACATCCTGTCCACCCTGGAGGCTGGAGAGTCTGTGGGTGCAGAGCAGTGAGAAATGGGTCTTGCTTGGGGTCTGTTCAGCTGGGCCTGGGCGGCTGAGCCCACTGTTTCTCTATTTCACACCTGGAATCTCAGCAAGACACTGGATAATGTTACAAGCTCTAGTACTATCTAGGAAATTTAGCTTCTTAGCAAGACTCTGTTGTAAAATTTTTTAAAAAAAATTTTTTTTAGGGGCTGGGGATTTAGCTCAGCGGCACAGCACCTGCCTGGTGAGTGCAAGGTCATGAGTTCAGTTCCCGGTACCAGAAAAAAATAAAAAAAAAAAAATTAAAAAAAATTTTTTTGAAGGGTGTGGATGTAGATTAGTACAAAGACCCGGGGTTCTATCACAGTAACCCCAGCACATGTACACACACAAGTAAAAGGTGGGCACAGTGGCACAGGTTTGTAATCCCAGCACTAAGAAGGCGAGGCAGGATGATGGCTGCAAGTTTGAGGCCAGTCTGGGCTGCACAGTGAGTTCTTGCCAGCCTGTACTACATAGTGAGACCCTGTCTCCAAAGACCAAAAAAAAAGTTTCGTTTTCATTTATTTTGCACTAGGAGTAGATATGTATTATAAGTCCTTTAATTTTTTTTCTAATTCTATTTCTGTATGCTTTGTATTTGTGCTGTGATATATTGTAACATTTTTATGGTGAATATTTGTTTTCTGGACAATCTACAGACAACCACTGATTCCCTAAAATTCAGTGTCTTACTGCTAGGCACTAATTCAAATAGATATACAGTAGTTGGGCAGGGAGTATAGCTCAATGGTAGAGTACTTTCCTAGCGTATGCACAGCTCTAGATTCAGTCCCACAACAATAACAAAACAAAACAAAAAAATTCTGGGCAACAAAGGCAAGGCAAGGGTATCGCAATCCCTGACTTGAAATTATACTACAAACCTACCGTGATTTAAAAAAAAAAACAAAAAGCATGCTGGGCATGGTGGTGCACGCCTGTAATCCCAGCACTCAGGAGGCTGAGGCAGGAGGATTGCCAAAAGTTCAAGGCCAGCCTGGGCTACAAAGTGAGCTCAAGGCCAGCCTGAACTGCATAGTAGACCATGTCTCAAAAAAACAAAACAAAACAAAACAAAAAACAAACCCAGCATGATACTGGCAAAAAAAAAACAGACCTGGGGACCAGTGGGACCAATTAGAAGATGCAGAAACAACTCCAAACACGCTCAGCCACCTTATCTGTGACAACGGAGCCAAATACTTTCATTGGAAGGAAGATAGCCTGTTTAATAAGTGATTCTGGAAAAACTGGCTTTCCACATGCTAAAGATTAAAACTAGACCCATATCTTCCACCATGCACTAAATTAAAATGGAAATGCATCAAATATCTAAGTATTAAAATGAATATCTGGCAGGGGATATAGCTCATCAGCACAAGTGTCTGCCTGGCAAGCGCAAGATCCTGAGTTTGGTTCCTGGTACCTAAATAAATACATATTAAAACAAACAATAAATCTGCCAGAAGACAGAATTAAGTAAAACTCTTGAAGACCTTGGTGTAGGCAAAGGCTTTATGAACAAAACCCTGATCACACAGGAGCTATCACAAAGAGTCAACAACTAGGATCTTACTTAAAAGTTTCACACAGCAAGGAAAACTACCAGCAGAGTGAAAAGACAACCCACAGTGTGGGAAAAATTTTTTGCCAGTTATTCATCAGACAACAGACTACTATGTAGACTACATAAAGAACTCAAAAAAATCAGACCCCAAATTTGAAGACCCAATCCAAAAATGGGCATCTGAAATGAATAGACACTTATCAGATGTAGAAGTAAGAATAATCCCAGCACTCAGGAGGCTAGGGCAGGAGGATCACTGCAAGTTCAAGGCCACTCTGAACTGTGTAGTGAGACCCTGTCTCGAAAGAAAGAAATGGCAAATATATATTTAAAAAGTTCAGCATCACCAATGAGAGATGCAAATTAAAACCGTGGTGAGAGTCCATTTCACTCCAGAAAGAACAGCTATTATCATGAAATCAGCCAATAACAAATGTTGGTGGGGCTGTGTGGAAAAAGAAACCCTTCTGCACTGTTGGTGGGAGTGTAGACTGGTGCAACCACTGTGGAAAATCAGTGTGGAGATTCCTCAAAAAACTAAAACTAGAGGTTCTATTGACGCAGATATTCCCCTTCTTAGTATCTTCCCAAAAAAATTAAAAGCATCATATTACAGTGATATACACACTCATGTTTATTTCTTTCTTTTTTTTTGTTTTTTTTTCCGGTACCTGGAATCAAACTCACGACCTTGCACTTGCCTCAGCTGTGCCGCTGAGCTAAATCTCCAGTCCTGCACTCATGTTTATAGCAGCACAGTGTGTAATAGCTAAATCTTGGAAATAGCTCAAATGCCCATCAACTGATGAATGGATGAAGACAAGAGTTGTTTTTATACACACACACACAAACACACAAACAATGGAGTGCTATGCTGCCATAAAGAAGGATAGGCTTGGGCCAGGGATATAGCTCAGTGGTGCAAGCACCTGCCTGGCAAGCTCAAGGTCCTGAGTTCGATTCCTGGTACCAAAAAAAAGGATAGGCTTGAGACATTTCTAGGTAAATTGATGCACCTTGAAACCATACTCTTAAGTGAAATAAATCAGACACACATGTTTAAATACTGCATTGTGTCTCTGGTATGAGAAACCAAAAGTGTAAATAAGGACCAGAATGTATAATAGATATTGGGAAATGGGAAGAAAATGTTCAAATGCGAAAGGAAAAGGAAAAAAAATGAAAAAGTAGAAACAAAGCTTTTGTGAATAAGGAGGGAGAAGAGTTGAAGGTAGGGGAAGGAAGTAGGGGGAAAAAAAGCAAGATATATCATGTGCGGGTGCAACTTCATATGATGGATGTGATCATTATGTATGCCTAAAATGTACCAGCAAAATAAAATTGAAAAGGATTGGGGGAGCCTCTGATTCATTTTGTAAATGGTTTCAAACTGAGCAGTGGGGTGGGGTGCCATCCTGAAATCTCAGCACTCGAGCAGGAGGATCAATGCTAGAGTGAGACCCTGTCCTGAAAAACAAACAAAATATTGATCCTTGGTTTTCACAAAATTAGTATACTTACCATCTGTGGAAGCTGTCACCTAAAGAACTGCCTAACATTTCTTTGTCCTTTGCCCCTTAGGACAGTGACGAAGGTGAAGCAAGTGATGGAGAAAAGGAGCAGCACAGTGAGGACAGCGAGGACAGCTTGGATTAGCCCCTGCACAGCTGCCCCACCCTGCGCCATCTTCTCCGGCCTCCTGTCTGTTTAGTATTCAGGGTTTTCTGCAGGAGGCATCCTGTTCATGCTTCTAGTTGTTGATTACTGTCTGAGTTGGACTGTGCTGGCATCAGAATCCTTGGCTTGGGTCCAGTGCAGCAGGGTCTGTTGTTTGGCTAGACATGGCAGTGCTTTGCAAGTCAGTTTTGAAAGTTATTTTTTCTAAAATTTAAGCTTACATGTTTTACAAATAAATTTTTTCATACACTTTGCCTCAGCTACCTCATTCTACTTTTTAGATTTTCCACATTCACCTGTGTGTAGAATTGAAGTTTATGCAAAGAAACAATGAAGACTGATGCCAGGATGGCTCCACTGCTCAAAATCAAGATCTCTGTTATAAGGACCTGTTTTATTTACTTTCTTGTTGCTAAGATAAAATACACAACAACCAAAGTTAAAGGAGGAAAGGTTTATTCAGGTCACAGTCTGGGAAGTTTCAGTCTGTAGTCACCTGGCTCCAAGGCAGGGCAGCACAGCAGAGGGGCATGACAAGAGAGAACTTGGGCAGGCAAAAAGCAGCAGCAGCCTGCCTTCCCTCTCCTTTATGTCCCATCCAGGCTACCAGCCTATTGATTGTGCCACCCATACCCTGGTGGGTCTTTTGTTATCCACTGCTTTAATCCACATTCATACCCTAGCACCTTGGAAAACCCCCGCCTATGAGTGCATGAGGCTTTGGGGGACCTCTAATTTTTTGGTCATTATATTAGTGTAAGACAAATGAAGAAAAGATATCATCCAGCCTATGATATGTTTTATTTCTTTACTATTCTGAGATATGCTTATAATCAATCTCACTAAGACTGCTACATAAGTATAGTTTGTTAGGGCATTATGAGTATGCTTCAGCTAAAGTGGGCTGCTGTCTTGTCTTCCACCAGGCAGCCAATTTTAGTGCTTCTGCCAAGTTCTTTCTTGGCAGGCTGTGACAATTGTTTTAATATTTGTTAATATAATGCAAATGGTGGTGCACACCTATAATGCTGAGGCGGAGGGAAGAAGAGCACCGTGAGTTCAAGGCCAGCCTAAACAAAGCGAGACCTTCTCACAAATCCAGAAAAAGAAAGACCAATTTTTCTTGATACCCCTTTTTCTCCCCAGTGCAGTGTCTTTAGTGTCTAAATTAAGTTCACACTGGACTCAGTAGTTTATGTGGTTTAATGGTTTTCATCATATGTACCAGTCCTCACTGGTTAGACTCTCAGTGGTTGTTCAGCTCTACAGTGGAAGTGTCCCCCTCACCCTGTCACTGGCCCTCTTGGAGAGAACAGGAGGAAAGGGGCTTCTCTGTTGTCACTGCTTGACAGAAAAGTGAAACAGCAGGGGCATTGTCACTGTGGCTTATGTGGACAGGCTCTTGTGAGCTGAGTTCTGCCTCAGAGCTGGGGCTCGGGCAGCAGCACCCTCTACCTGGAGTGCTGCAGGGCAAAGGTGCACTTCTTGTAGGTTGCATACAGCAAGAGGATGGAGCGCAGCATCTGTTTGCACATTGTCACTGTCATCTGGATCTGAGGCTCCTTGAGTCCAGTGGGCCACTGATGCTCCTTGCTGATGATTTTGCAGAAGGCTGACTTCTCAGAAACTCTGAAGCTCCCAGTCCACTTGGGTGGCTGAGCCGTGATGACCCTGCCGAAGACAGAATCCACTCCACTGAGGCGGATGGGCTGAGGCTTCCTAACCAGTCCTTTCTTGTGGATCATGCTTCGAAGCTCCGATGTGTGATAGGGTAGCTTGGGACTCACTCCAGTATCCAGGAATGGGCTGTCGAGGACGAGAGTGACTTCTTGGAAACACAGCTGAACTTCTAGGTCAGAAGGGGTGTGTGGGAAATGGGGGGAGGCCCTGAAGGGGTGCTTGGAGGACGGAGTGGGCGTTGTGTGCCGCAGCCATTGGAAGCTCTCATCCAGTGGGGTCCATGGTGACCAGAGCTGGTATCCTGCCATTGAGAGTCCTAGAGGGAGGAATCAGACATGGTGTTGCTCTGGTGTGCTTTTGGCAAGCACATACATGTCTGTGCACATTCACAACGCTGCCTCACTACTGACTTAAACTGACTTTGCTGTCCCCATGAGTAGATTCCAGGAGGCAGTAGGGTATTAGTAATTCTATAAAGGACAATAGGGGATGGTAAGAAATACTGAATTTGGCAACTGCAGTGTGCACAAAAACTTTATTAAACCTTTTCACAAGACAAGTCATAGTGTGTCCCCATCCACCGTTGTGCGCTGCTATGCTGATGACTGCTAATGACAGAATCTATTTCTGTGGGGTGGGAGAGGTTTCTGGGACTTCTTAATGAAACACTAGAGATTAGAAGCTGAGAAAGGCACCTCTTCCACATATGTGACTAACACCATCCGCTGGACGTCAGTACGCAAAGTATGATCCCTAGACTAGCAGCTGCGTCGGTGCCGCTTGGGAGCTTGGTAGAAATGCAGATTCTTGGGCCTCGCCTTACATCTCAGAGGAAGAAATTCTGGGGGCCAAGAATCTGCATAAACAAACCTTCCAGGGGATTTGCTGCATCTTATAGCTGGAGAACTACTGTTCCTTTTAAGCACCTCACTTTGCTGTTCATTGTGGAGGCAATCTCCTTGCCTCTAAAAGCCCATGTTTGGTTTTTTTGTGTTTTGCTTTATTTTTCATTTTGTTTTGTTTCGTTTTGTTTAGTTTTGTTGTATAAGAGAGCAGTGCCGGCTGAGTCCTGAACCTCTTAAGTGCCCCTCGGAAGAGTTGCCACCAGCGGGAGGGGAAGCCTTTCCATGCTTTCAGAACTGCTGGCCTTGGACTGCAGCTTGGCGACAGTGACAGATGCTGTGCAGCTTTCGCAAGGCCCCGAGTTTGATCACCAGAATCACAGACACCCAAACTTTGTTTTTTTCTAGGTGTGGGTCTTTGTTTTTTCATCTGTGGAAGACCCACAGGTTAAGACCTTCATCTTTTTTTTCTTTGAAGGAGGGCTGGGAGGGTATTACTAACTCAAAACATTTGTCCAAGTAGAAATTGGATTTTCCATCATTCTACTTTAAAATTGCCAGTATATAAGCGTTTTAGTCATTTTAGGAGAAGCTAACAGTTTTGGAGTTGTGCTATGTTGGTAACTGCTAATGACAGAATCTATGCCTACTTTTTTTTATTTTCTTGCACAGAGGAACACAGCTACTTATATACCCTTGTCCCCAAGGAAACAGGCCTCCACCATCAGGGTGGTTGCCCTCTTCCACCGAGCATGTAGCTTCAGGAGGACACACATGGAGCAGTGAAGGAGGAAGGGGACACCCACCCCAGCCAGCCAGATCACCAGATCAACCCTGGGATCAATGGAGTGACAGATGTCGCAGCCAGATCACCCTCACATCCTTTTTTGTGTGTGGTTTTTTGTTTTTGTTTGTTCTTGGAGTCTTGGAGTCTTGGAGTCTTGCTATGTAGTCTAGGCCGGGCTTGAACTCACTATGTAGTTCAAGTGTACTTCTCTGCCCTTCTGACTGCTACAGAATACTGTGTAACAGTGCAGATATGATCTCATCCAGTAACTGCCATCATAGTTTTTGTTTGATCCTTCAGTTATGTCATGTTGGGGACTCATGCATGCTAGGCAATCCCTCAATCCCTACTAAGGTACACCCACAGCCCTTTCTAAATTGTGAGACAGGTTCTCACTAAATTGCCTCAGCTGAGCTGGATGCAGTGGCATGTACCCATAATCTCAGCTATTCAGGTGGGAAGCTGAGGCAAGAGGGTCACAAAATTGAGCCCAGCTTGAGCAATTTTGTGATACTCTGTCTCAGAAGAGGGTGAACTGGGAGTGTAGCTCACTGAGCACCCTGAGTTTGCTTCTCAGTACTGTCTTAATAAGTCCAGCCTGTTTAGGTTTTTCCAGAACCAACATGGAATGAGTGGCTTCTGACTGTGATCTTCCCACTCCTTCACACAAAGGTTAGTGGTACCACCCTACCCTCAGCACCGAAGCCACCTCGTCCATCCTTGGGCGGGCACTCTGTTCATGGAACTCTAACATCTTCCAGACAGGGGCCCCTGGTTCTAACGGGACACCTGGTTCTTCCCTATCAGAGTTCCTCCTGTTATAAGGAACCTAACCTGTCCCTCCATTTCCCCACCTGGAAAAGGGCAGCAGCGCCAGAGTGCAGCTAAGGTCCTGTGAATCGTCAGCAGAGCCGAGGGGCCGGCAGGTAGACAGGGGCCTCCTCCGGGTCCCTCGCTCTGGCCTAGCGGAGCCGGCAGCGGGAGCCCGGGCCGGGCCCAGCATCCGGGCGGGGCTCACCTGGTGAACTCCCCGCGGTCTAGAGTGGCCGCACCTTTCCTAACCGGGTGCCTGGCAACCGCCTTTGTGACCCGGCCAGCAGGTTGGTGGGAGCAAGGCCCGCTGAGGCCACGGGGCTGTGGCCTCCCCAGCCATCCTGGAAATGCCCGGGAAGGAGCTGCCGGACGGCTGCTTCAACGCCTGCCGCACAACTCGCTCCACACTCACCACACCTGTGTGCTGGGACGGATCACACAGGATAGACCCCTGCTTGAGTCTGGGGATTTAGCTCAGTGGCAAAGCGCCTGCCTGGCAAGCGCAAGGTCGTGAGTTCTATTCTCGGTACTGGAAACAAACAAACAAACAAACAACAAACAAACAAAATTAGCCTTTACTCAAGAGGGTCGCTGCGAGTTGGAGGCCAGCCTGGGCTCCAAAGTGAGTCCAAGGCCAGCCTTAACTACATAGTGAGACCCTGTCTCCAAAAAAAAAAAAAAAAGCCTTTATTCTAAACTTTGTACTTTGGCGGAGGGATCCGGAGTCCTGAAGGCATTTGTTGTATTCACATGGTTCCAGGGGACTGGCTTGGTGGCACAGGCCTGTAATTCTGGCACTCTGGAGCTGAGACAGGAGGATTACTCTGAGTTTGAGGGCAGCCTGGGACACAAAGTGAGTTCAAGACCAGCCTGAACTGTATAGCGAGACCCTGTATCAACAGACAAAAAAAAAAGAGGCTGGGAATTTAGCTCAGCGGCGAAGCGCCTGCCTGACAAGCGCAAGGTCGTGAGTTCGATTCCTGGTACCGGAAGAAAAACAAACAAACAAAAAAGACAAAAAAGAAAAGAAAAAAAAAAAAAGGGGGTGGGGAGTGTTCCAGGGAAGGAAGCAGAAGTGACTAATGCTCGTCTGTCCAGACGAACAAGGTAGCTACACACCCTCTTCACTCTCTGGCTGAGCACCTTTCCAGCTCCCATTCACTTGTCAAGATACGGAGACAGAGCAGGGTGTGGTAGCGCACACCTGTAATCCCTGCACTCTGGATGCTGAGGCAATGAAACCCTGTCTCAAAAAGATGAAAAAAAAGAAGATAACGGAAAGATACACGTATCTTTCACTTCCTCATTGAAAACCTTCCTGCCTTCTAATTGTTCATAAAGAACAATTCTGTCCTGTGCTACAGTGCTGAAGAATGCTTTTGCCTCCATGAGAATGTGATGTGACAACTTTGTACGCTCATGTCAGTTGTTCTGGAAAGCTGAGGTTGGGGGACAAGTCCATCCAGACACCTCTGTCCACAGGACCTGGCTGGGGAGGTGCCTGGCAGAGAGCAGCATAGATTCAGGAAGCAGCGAGGGCCACCCACTCTTTCCTTTCACCTGGTATTGCCCTTGCACTTTGCAAATTGCGAACACAGTGCCAGTGAGAGCATCTTCTGTCCGGCTCTTTGGGTGAAAATGATACAGAACCTGAGGCACTGAGAATGAGGGCAGGCTGAGATCCCAGATCAGTAGACAGAGACTTGAGGACTTGTCCAAGGCACACCACATGTGCATGTGTGTCCCCCAGGAGAAGTAAAGTGGGAGGTGTTTGGAGAGGAGTCAGAAAACAGAGCAAGCAAAGGATGGTGAGGCTTGAAGAGGTGCAAATGATCTGGGTTTTTTTTTTTTTGTTGTTGTTGTTTTTTGAGACAGGGTCTCACTATGTAGCCCAGGCTGGCCTTGAACTCACTATGTATCCCAGGCTGGCTTCCAACTCACAGTGATCTTCCTGCTTCAGTCTCCTGAGTGCTGGGATTACAGGTGTGTACCATTGACCAGCTGAGGTGCAAATAATTCTGAATAAAAGACTTCCCCAGTTTATTTTTACTTTACTCTTAAAGAGACTTGTTAAAAGGCAAATACAACAGTTTTTGTTGCACAATAGTGTTTTGTTTTTTAAATGAAAGTCCCCAAAGCAAAACTGTAGGGTTAAAATTGGACAGAGAGGCCATTGTACTGTTGTGGCGATCTGTACAGCCTGTGGCACAGTCTGCACCAGCTTAAGGGATCAGTTCCCGGAAGGGCCATTTCTGTCACCTCCTAGCCTAACGCCCAGCACCACATGGAGACCAGATCTCATATCAGTCAGCTTTTCATCCTTATAATGAATATCTGGGCCAGGAGAATTAAGAACAAAAGAGGATGATTCACTTCAAAGCTTTGGAGGCTGTCAGTCCAAATGGCACAGCTCAGGCCCTGCACGTGAAGGCGCTCAGGTGGGAAGGAGAACCTGAGGAGCCAGCCCTGCTTTATAATGGCACTCTGGGGCACTTACTCCAGAGGCCCGGTTCACCCTAAGGCAATGCCCTGCTGATTTAATGCACGGTTGCAATGAAAGAAAACTTTATATTTTGTTTTTTTCTTCAGTTCATCATGCTTTTTGTTATCAGGCCGGCAGAGGGATCCTTGTCCCTGTGTTCTAGGGACAGAAATCCAATCCAGACACAGAAGAGCACTGTGAAAAGAGAAGCAGGATATTGCAAATGAAACTGCCCAAACTGGGTGTGGTGGCGCGCACTGTAATCCTAGCACTCAGGAGGCAAACCAGGAGGATTGCTGTGAGTCCAAGTCCAGCATGGGCTACACAGTGAGACCCTGTCTCAACAAAACAAGAAACGGTGTAAGACGAAAGAAAATACACCCTTAAGGGAACTGGTGGCAGTTATGAGGAATACTAGTTTAAACTTTACATATTGTTGTTAGGATGTTCTGCCTTTTCAGGCCCATCCAGTCTTCTTTGGTGCCCTTTCAAATGTCAGTGAAATAAGGAAAAGCCCCTGATGGAGTGGTTTGTGCCAGGTCAGGTGAGCCCTTCCCAGGTGCGTGGCCAGGCTCTCAGGTGGGTACTGAGGAGAGTGGTGTTGCTGGGTGTGTTCCTTAGGTGAGGTCTGTCTCCTGCAGCTCCATCTGCACTGTAAGTCTACGTTGGCTTGTTTTGTTAGGAGTTTTACATAAGTTCCCTCCATGACTCAAGGCCTGGTAGTGTTTTTCTACCTGATATTTTCATGTGGCCAAAGTGTTCATAATTAAATGCATAATATTTATACTATTGCCTTAGGTGGCTATACCAACGTTTAGCCATTCCTCAACTATTGTAATGCTAGTACAAAGAGCATTGTTGTGGTTAAAGTTGAGTGTGCTTTCCCCTCTCCCCCAATGATTTTAATGAAATGATTAAGTCTAATGTTTTGAAATTATTTGTAGTTCTTGGTATCAATTTACATATTTCCTTCTGAAAGGATTGTACTAGCTTACGGTATGACTAACTCTTTATGACTCTACCAATTTCGCTTCAGCTTCTTCAACACTGGGTATTATCTTAAAATATTAAATTTTAGCCGGGTGTCGTGGCACGCACCTGTAATCCCAGCACTGTGGAAGGCTGAGGCAGGAGGAGGGTAAATTAGAGCCCAGCCTGGGCAATTTAGCATGACCATCTTTTAAAAAAGAAATAAAAATGTTCTGTTCACTTGGTAAATGTGAAGTGGGACATCATACCTCGTCGGTAAATGACTTGTATTTATTGGGGTTTAATAGTCCCCGTATTATTTTATTGCTGACACAGATTGCGCAAACTAAGCTTGGAGCACAGGGAGGCAAGAAGAGCCCAGGCGCCCCCTACCGACTGCAGCGGCCCGTGACAGGCGTGGGTGTGCGGCTTGCTGCGGGAGGCCAGGCAGCTGTTTTCCCGGGGGTGGGAGCCGGGCGAAGCGCAGGCGAGGACGTGACACTGCGCAGGCGCGTCACTGTCCCGGTGCCTGCGCGGGCGCCACGGGATGGGTGTGAGCTGGAGCACAGGCGCACTGGTGACCTGCACGATCGGCGCGCCTGCGCAGTTACTCCTTCTCAGGCGGCCGCCATGGCTGGGCAAGAGGATCCGGTGCAACGGGAGATTCACCAGGACTGGGCGAACCGGGAATACATTGAGCTCATCACCAGCAGTATTAAGAAAATCGCGGACTTCCTCAACTCGTTCGGTCAGCGGGCGAGCAGGGAGGTGGGGAGGGGGAGGCCCCGGGGGCGGCCTGCCGGGGAAGCCAGGGGGACTCCGCGAGCCCTGCGCCCGCCGAGCTGCGCTTGCTTCCGTCTCAGCCCCACCTTCGCGCTGCCGCCGCTCTGCCCGCGAGGCCGGCGGGCTGTGGCCTCGTCCCCATCCTCGTCCCGGACCCGCGAACGGGCATTTTCCCGTGCACCTCAGGCAGCCCCGTCCACCCCGTGAGTGCCGCTTCCCTTCCCTTCGGTGGTCTCCCTGCCTTCTTCGTGCCGCTTCGTTCCAGTCCCCACCTCATCCGCAGGGTGCCCAGCGCGGCCGTGTCGCTCGCCTGACAGTTCCCCGTCGCTTTCAGGACGGGATCGAAACCATATCGCTCCGTGCCCTTTAGTCGCCCCCTTGACCACCCCGGTCCATTTCTCCTTTCCCCGGTGTGTGGCAGGAGTGGAGTCCGAGGTTGCCCGTCCGGGTCTTGGGCGCTAGAGAAACACTGCATTTCTCGCTTCTGATTTGTGTGAGGTGTCTGCTGCTAGTGCGGTCTTCAGAGCTAACACAGGGTAGGTGCTTCCAGCAGAGACAGCCCAAAATATTCCCTAGGCGCAGACTTCTCGCAGTAGTTTTAAATTCCTCTGCACTGTTTGTATCTTAGTCCCAAGTGTTTCCTTTAGAGAACTTAGCGCTGGATAAACTTCGCAACATGTAGGGAGGACACCTAGTGATCTTTTTCAACCTGTGTACTTTTGGTTCCACGAATCCAACAACATTAAACAGTTAAGATTAAATAGGAGAAACTGGTGTATTAAAATTTTTTTAAAAGGCATTATTTTGTAGCTAGAGGACCTGATAAGGCCTAAGTAGTGTAAAATGATAGAGCAAGAGTTTTGCCAGTAGGCTGGAGATGTAGCCCAGAATAGAGCCAGAGTGAGGGCTTGGGTTGGATCTCCTACACAGCACCCCCGCAAAGGTTTGTCAAAAAGAGAAGTTGTCAGAATTCATCAGCAGGAGAAACTACATCTCCTCT